TAAAATTCAACAAAATGAAATCTTACGCATGACGATTTTACCCGTGTTTTCTCAATTCCTATGAAATTTGAAATTCATTTTCTCGGGTTCCCAAAAGAACTTATCTTTGGTGTTATTACAGATAACTAATTACATCTATAGGCCTTGAAAAGTGTAAAAAAAAGTGTATATGGCTTAATATATTCTGGTACAAGGTTTTTGTCTACTGGAAATTAAAATTACTCAATTTCCAACTGGATTGCATCTTAATTAGTATAGGTAATTACCGTTGACTCAAGTCTGAGCCCAGCGCTTAGAAGCGTAATGCGTCCCATTTGATATTCCTCATGCTCTCCATCGAGAGTTCAGCAGCTCTACACCGGTGTCACGCCGAGTAAAGCAACGCGAAACTCCCTTAATTCAGCAGGCACCTTAAATAATTGAACACACAAAATTCAACAACATACAAATTCGTGCTGTCACATACGTTGCTGACCCTTTCAGTTAGTCAATATATAAGGGATTTTCACCCTTTTTTCGTTTGCACGCCACACAACATTTAGCTAAATTTTCCGGCACTTTTTCAAAAAAGGAAGCTAATGTAAAACAGTAAAAAAAAGCTATAAGGCGCCATAAACGCCGACTATTTTTGTCGGAAATTACCCTTGCTACTAAATTCTGCCGCTTTAGGGCTACTTTTCTTTTTTCCGCTCTTTTGCTTGCTTATCCGTTTGTTTGATTGTTTGAAATAGCTATCACTTTTCGGAAAATCAGATGGAAACCCAATCAAAGATCAAGGTAATTGCATTAGCTTGCATTTAAGGCTAATAGCTTGATGAAGACGGCACACCGAACGTCGGAAAACGCAAATGCCTTGTATTCTTAAAAGCCCTTAACACGCAACGTTTGACATGAATACATGAGAAACACGGCCATCTTAAAGCAAAAGGAGAAAGAAAGCAAGAAATTTCAAAAAGAGAACTCTTAGTCAATTTAGTGAACATTTCTCAAACGTTACGAACGGAATCCAGAACCCAAACTGAAGAGCTAGCCGTCATGGACTCTACTGAACTGCCGCAACACGAATGTCAGATCTATGTTATCTTGGGGGGAAGACTAGAACAACCTTCTCTTTTTGTTCGAGTTTGCCTTATTTTGAACATTATCATCAATATTTTCACCTTTCCTTTCACTGCTGTCTTGAACGCGTTGGTGATAATCGCCGTAAAAACTAAACGACGACTGAGGGCCCACAAGTCCAATATCGCGATCGCTCTGCTCGCTACAACTGATTTTGTAGCCGGAAGTTTTGCTCAGCCCAAGTTCATCGCTTGGTTAATACTAATCTTTGTCAACTACAACAGTGATTTATGCCCATTTATGGCGTTTCGCTTCCTGATAAGCATGCTTTTCGGCGTGTCGATTCTTCATCTGTTGCTGATAAGTGGAGAAAGGTATTTAGCCATCAAGCATCCATTTGCGCACATTTCTCTTGTCAAAGAAAGTAATCTGCTCATTGCCTCTGCCTTGGCTTGCCTGTTGCCCTCAGTTGTTAACGTTTATTTTTTCCTTACTGAAAATATGATTGCGTTTGTTCTTGTCGATAATTCTGTCATTTTAATATCTGTTGCCTGCATAGGTTACTGTCATCAACATGCCCCCCCCCGGGCAACCCCCCGGGCATTTGATTTTTTGGAAAATTATTGTTCAAATTCCCCCCTACCCGGGCCAAAATGCCGTTCAAATGCCCAACACTGGGGTCCATTCAGGTGATCAAATGCCCCCACCCCGGGGACATTTCACAAGCACAAAAATGACAGAAGGACGGCGGAAACGCCTTCAGTTGTCGAACAAAATCTTTCTAAATATAACAAAAACTGAGAAACACTGTTAGCGTATTTACTACGAACACAATTCTCGTGCAAAGCGTAGAAATCGCTGCTACAAGGTCACTGAATGCTCAGCTTTTCTTTTTCATGCAACATACAAAGCGTTCTATAAAAAAGATCCCACCTATTGAGATTACTACATCATCATCATCATCACATGCATCATCGCTCACCTTATTAATTAACTTACTTGCAGTAGGTCAAAGTGATTGACCTGAGCTTTTTATTTTATTTTATTCTATGTTGTTGTATTGAATCGCCGGTAGAGGTATAGAAATACGTTCATACATTCAAAGCCTGAATCCAATATTAAAAATTTTAAAATTTAAATACTTCAAATACGCCACAAAGCTTGTTTAAGCCCTTTCTTCGTAACCAATTGGCCACAAAGGCACAATCTTTTCCACGAAAATCCTCCAACACCGGGTCCCCCATTGCTCGCCTCGCCAAGATTTTACATGAAATCGAGGGTGCAGTTCAAATTCCCCACCCCTAAAGCATGGGGATCAAATTCCCCACCCCCTCGAAACCTCTGATAATCAAATTCCCTCCTCCCCGGGACGGCAAAGGTGTCAAATGCCCGGGGTATGCCCGGGGGGGCATGTTGAAGCTTCGATTTGACCGATACATAATACGTTGTTTACTCCTTTATTTTGTCCTAACGGGTAAAGACTCTTAGAGGATTACCCTGCATTGCAGGTATTTTCTTTGGGTGCGCGAGTGTTATTAGAGGATGTTAGCATCGACAACGAGTATCAGTTCTAGAACGAGATCAGCGATTTTGCGTACTGCGCATCCGTTCTGTGCATCTCCACGTTTTCAAGTCGTCCTGTCAAGTTGCACTACGACGAGTTCTCACCAAAAACTCGAAGTGGGTAGAACGACTGGGAAGAGCTGGTTTGAAAGGTAAATTCCGATCGTTTAATGCAGTTTCTTTTCGTTTCTAGCCTCTCTTTATCATCTTGAACATTCCTTATATTAGGTTTTATGTAAAATACTGCTTTTGAAGTCGAGGAAAAGCAACCGAACGCGATAATTCCTACACAGAGTAAATTTGCATTTACCCGGGAAAGTATATAAACTATAAACTCGAACTCGGTGTCATCACTAACATAGAAAACTGAGAAAACGACTTCGAGTACGAGTACGGGCTTGAAGTCGTTCTCGTACTCGTACTCGTACTCGTTGTTGATGGTAACATCCTCTATTATCTGCACTGATAATTCGCCATATTCAACTGCAAGAAAGCGGACAAGTTGAGGCGAATCAAAGGGAGAGGGGAGGGGGCGGAGAGAGAAAACATGATGAAATGAAACGTAAAATGCTTTATAACATCTGCTCAACATGTCGGAACAGGTCGGATCAGTGACCTGTAAAAAATTCTCTGACTTTCATGGTGTAATTCGATTTCAATCGAGTTTTACAATCAGATGGGAACTTGAAGATAAAAACTTTCTCAAAATAGACATTATCTGTTTAGATGACAGTTTAAAGTATCGGATTATGGCGATTAAAGCAAATGAAAACTTCGCACCTTTCTCCAACAGAGTGAATTTCAGAAAGCCTCGAGGGACGGATTTGGTAACCGCTTCTGAATTGATACCAGGCTTCTGTCGGTCAAAGTCAAATGTCCCGACCCCGGGGTCGCTTCGCACGATCAAAAGCCCGACAGGGGGATAGTCTCAGGCATCAAATCCCCGCCCCTTGCCCGCACTCGCCCCCCCCACCCTCCCACGGGATTTACATTGATAGGTGCATTACGAACAAAAACAAGCCGCATTCTGGGAAAAACACGCACAAAAGCCTAAATCAGCATCAATGCTTTTCGTAAGGGGTTGTCCACACTTGGTGCTCGGGAACCAGTGCCTGGGTACCGGCACAAAATGGTGCTGTGTTCACTCTTTGAGTACCCGATGTGTGACTGTGTACATAGTTACTCTATTTCGCCCTGTCAGACGCCATTTTGAAACATGCGCTTAGCAGCGAGAGAACATAGCAGCTGATGACTGACCGGAACTTACAAAAATTGTGTGCACACAGGGACCCGGTTCCCACTTTTGTGCCCGAGTACAAGGCCGGTCGAGACCTTGTATTCGGGCACCGGCACCTTGCCCAAATCCTAGCCTGGGTACTTGAAAAAGGGGCGTGTTCACATTAGTGCCCAGCGAGTACCGCACTCGGGCACCGTGCCCGGGCACCAAGGGTAAACGCTGCCTAACCTTCTCAGCGTGGCCCGGTAGTAGAATTCAAGGCATACCCACAGACCTTTTCCCTCAGTTTAAAGAGCAGCCCGCTTGATTATTCAGCCAGTTCTAGTAAAGTTAAGCTCTGTGCACCCTCGCTGACAGTCCTCGTTTTTCACTTCCATCACTGCGCCCCGTATGACTCAAATTCCAGCTACTCATTTGACAGAATATGTCCATGCAGTTTTTAGCCCTCTACAGCTACAAGACAAATAGCTTGCCGTAAAGCCAGATGCCAGCAACTCGAACTTCATTCATAACAATGTGACCTGATATTTAGATTCCATTTTACAGTTCAGAAATTCCAACCCCCTGTTTGGATTACATTTCTGCCAGGAATTTGAACATATTTTTTTTTTCAAATATCCCGACTCTTTTAGATTCCATTTTACAGTTCAACTACAACCCACTGTTCGATTACATGCCAGGAATAGAATACATATTTTCTTGGCAAATATGGTTCCTAAATCTAGCCCAACAAACCTGATTGGCTCTCTTGCCTTGGGTATAGAAAAACCCTCGCTATTTACCACGTTAAATGTCATGGGTGGTTGCTTTCTTCTTTTTGACGTAACCGTGGATATTTCCCGTGGTAAATTTATCTTGAGAAAGTCCCGTCACACGCACCACGGACATTTACCGCGGTAAAATTGTCCCGTGTATAAACCGCACCTAATATTTTCAGTCAATTTGGTGGCAGTCCCCTTTGTTTGAATTTTGATAAATTTTGTGACACAGTTCCTTTAAGGTTTAGCTATAGGATGACAGACCTCTTTCTTGAATGAAAGCTGGATGACACCAATATTCACAAATGGATTAAACATTTATCCTAAATGTACATTTATATTTTTCAACAAATAAGTTGCTTCTGGAAAAGCATCAATCGCGGAACTGATTCCAAGGGATTTTCAAGATGACAGAGAAACATAGTCTTCACCCTACATTGTTATTTTGTTGGTCTTCTATAAACTGTTTCAAAGTTGCTGAGTCCACAGGAATGTAGAGATATTCCACACCATCGCCACCCTGAGAATATGAGTACATTTCAGTCATTGTAAAGTGAGTGGTAAAACATACATTATACATATACTTCAGTAAATTTCAGTAGAGACATTTGATGCACAACATGGTGCTGTGTTCACAAACTGGTCATCATGTGGCACGAAATGTTTGCAGGTTCCAATTTTTGCGATTTCTTTCCAGCGATCAGCAAAAATACGTTTCCGCAAGAAAAAAATTACAGCACTTTCGAGAAACGGGCCCCAGGTGTGAAATGAGTATGGATTTTAGAGACCAGGGCTCGGTTTTTCCTCGATAGATGGTTAAGTTTAACCCAGGATTAGGCCAAATTTTAACACGGTTTTCTTCCCTCCCCATCGATAGATGGTTAAAAATACTTTAAGCCTTTAGGATTAGACAAATTTTAAAACAAAGTTTTCTTTTCTCTAAGAACATGTAACTAAATTCGGGCCTAAAAAATACTGTTGAATCCTTTAAAGTCCAAAAGACAAACCAATTTCTTTTTGTTAACTGATACTTTAAGATATCTGAAAAATTGGAAACCTAAAATATAAAATCGGAACAAAATCCGGGCTTGTACTTATCGGGACTTTTGAGAAACAGGCCCTGCGCCTGAAAAAGGTTATGAAAATGGAGGAGTGCCTCTCCCACTGGGGTGAAAACACTACAACTGCACTGATTTACTCACCTTTTTGGAAGTTATAAGTTTATGATCGCGGAATTCGATTAGCTGAGCTTTCAGTGTCGACTCACTGTTGACCAAAAACTGTTCCCGGCATTTGGAGTAACAAGAATTAAATGACATACCTGAACAAAAACAAGACAACAATAAAACTTCGCCACGCTCTCCTCGCGTGTTACGCATGCCACTGCACTACAGTAGAAGTATAAGGTTAAGTAAAGGATAAGTATCTTCCTAAAATTGATAAGTTTCAGAAGAGAGCAGTTTGTTTTGGCTTTCTGTAGGAGACCACGCCCATTTTAAGACTTCTAGAGGCCTCAGATAATAACTTATGAAAGAGCGTCACAAATTCTACTGATACTGAAGCCCTTTGGCAGATCTCCTTCCACCCAGTAGAACAAGATTGCTAAGGAATAGTGGTCATTCCTATGTACTACCTCAAATTATTGTTTTATTAATAGAAGTCTTTTCAATTTTACCTGATTGTCAATTGTAATCCGGAACGATTTTTTTAGGAATTAATAAAGACTGGAGCTTATTTATCTTTTTATTCAAAAAAAAAATAGCAATAACATACTGCTCACGGTCTAGAGAACTATTCACAAACTTCTCACCTATATAACTATTGTTATCCTTCTCCTCAAGCTGATGTCCCGCTATCAGGATAAAAATCCCGCGGGCATTAGGCGTTAAACTGCGGAACACATGAACCAATGAGCTCAAAGCCAGCGCGCCGGTGTGTTGCACAAGTAGAGAATTTTCATACGAAGTCTCTTCCTTATAAGGCTCAAATGACGTCACATCAAACCACGACCAGTTAAAACGGCCCAACTGAGTGTGATTCCAAACTGAAAGATCATTAACAGACACAGAAGTTACACGTCCGTCATCCACACTAAGTGTTGTAACGGTGCAGTACAAGGCTAATCGTCACCCCGACAAGTTAGACCACGACAGCGTCTTTTTATGTTAGTTGGTTTAGGAGGGTTGAGCAAAACGCGCGAGACACGAAAACCCTGGTTTCTCGCGCCTCGCGCGAGCGTGCGCGTGCACTCCCCTCACTAAATCTAAAGCAAAAGAGAGACTGTTTATAGTCTACCTACAAGTCGGTCGCGGTCGCCTACTAAAGGTTCGAGCCGTAGGGCTTTGACAGCGAAAATTCTGTTGTTTTGGATAGGAGGTCGCTTATAGCTGGTCGCACATGGAGGTTCGATTTTATAATCTAGTACTTACTAAGAGGCGCATTGATGTGGTCAATACTGGCAATAATATGAAGGTTATCTACTTCTGCAAGGAGGCTAAGGAGCGTTTGAGTCTGAAACAGAGAAAATAATCATTTTCTTCTTGTTGTTTTTGAAATTTTATCCTTGGTGCAACTTTTATCTTCCTTTGATTTAAAGCAATCATTATACACCGCTAAACTTGGTCAGCGCTGACTATAGCAATTTTTAGCAAAGACCCTCTGTCCACCCTTCTAACGTGTCTTCGTTTGAAAAAAGTGAACAAAGGCAAAGCTAAAAACGATCACAACCTCTTAGACTGGGACGACAGGGCTCATTGTTGATGAAAAAAGGCGACTAACGACGCGCACAAAATCGATAAGCTCCCTTCTCAACCGCCCGCTCGTTTCGCGCTTGCCCCGTTATTCGCCCTTTCTCCCACCTAAGGAGCCTGGTGCCAGGTTAGGTGGTTCTTGAAGATGCAGACTTCGTAGAAACTAATCAGTCACGTGTTCAAGCTTAAAATTGGCGGAAATAGACGAGAGTATTGCAAGCGCTATTAAAGACAGAGCACCGAGAAATTCACACGTCCAAGAATAGCTTAGAAACGAAAAATGCCTGGAAGTGTGGAAGACGGTAAAAACGTCGCAGAAACGCAAGTGTGGACGCTAAAATTTTGATGCATATTTGTTAACACGAAAAAGGAGGTTTTCGAAAAAGGATTAATGTAGACAGGGCCTATTTTCGAATAAACTTTTAGGACAGGAAAAGCAGACTGCCGCACCAAGTGTTTTCTTGATATCATGATACAAAAGCGAAAGGAGGCAGAGAAATAGAGTTTATACAGAATGGAGACTCACCTTCTTGGCTCTTAACATAGAACCATCAATATTATGAATAACTAAAAATAACTCCTCTGCATCTAAAAGAAACAGAAAAATGAAGATTTACAATTTTGCTCATCTTCATCGATCATTTTACAGTGTTTTGATGATACTTTCAGCTCAACATAAAACAGAAAGGTGACTGAAATCTTTGCAGCATACATGAAGATTGAGTGGTGCCGGGCGGGACTACGTTACGATGAATATGTATACACCTTCGGATTCCAGAAAGGCATATTAACCAATCAAAACACAGCAAAATTTGTGTGACGTATTAAGTAATGGTCCAGATAAGAAGGAAAGGACCAAAACGCAGTGAACACGTCGGAATGCAAAAAGGTGCTAACTTTACTATTGTCTCTACTAAGGTTCTGATTGGTTTAAACATCAAATTTTACGAAATCTTCGCAAAGCAGCATGTACATCAATCCTTTTTTTTCTATCCAACTTCCTTATAACAAAATCAAACACTGAAATCGTATGTGCGGATCATGTAAAATTTGAACATTTCTTGGCCATTGTTTGCAACTCTTGTGATTGGTCGAAATGTTTTAACACAAAAATACACCCTTTAAAAGTGGAGTTTAAATACATTTTCTTTCGTAAACAGCCTTTTTGTAGATTTATGCACTCTCTGCGTAAAAATGAAAACATTTCTATGTGAGGAAAGCGTATTGCGCCACAACAATAGAAATTGCTTTCCTTCTTACCTGGATCATTACTTAAAGGCAACAACAATTTTGCAGAGCAAGTTTGACTTTTATTTAGTATTCCCTACAAATTTTAGGATCGTAAGTTTACCCCATACAAACACTGTAATTTTACAGGATTTGTCAAGTGGCAATAATAACACAGGCCCTGGGTTGCCTGTGCCTTATCCAGCGCAAGGTAATTTTGATCTTATTCAAATTCGATCAAACTGTTCGTCAAATTAGCGAAATTTTATACTACTAGTGATTAAAACCATGATTTCCTTCATACTTGTACGTGTAACAAATGATCCACAACAGAGTAACTTACTTTTATTATTGCTCAGAGAATGTTTTATGTAATCACACTGATCTGTCACACTCTTGAATGAGCCATCATGCATTAAAACCTCCTCTGTTATTAAATTCAGAACCTTTAAAAAAATACAAAGTGGTTTCTCGTTAAGTATTTAGGTACTCTGTTTTCCATAAAATAGCTCCACGGCGCCATTAGGCAGTCTAGTTATTTTGTTTATACTGCCAATTATGCGTCCTTATTTGCTATGGAAATTAGCTTCAACGACCATATTAGTGATGATATCACTGTTCAAACAAATTTCCCCCAAACATTATGTCTAGCTTTACAAACAGCAAAAACGAAGTTTAAAAAACCTGTTAGGCTAACAAGTTGCAATACCAACGAAAAATGAACAGAAGACTTACACTTTTAATGGTAAGACTCGGAAAATAGCCATTGACTACAATTTGAAGATATGAGGAAAGTTTTGAGGAACGAAATTGATCAAGAAGAACTCTTTTAGATCCCAAGCCATAGAGAAGAATGTTAAAGCCATTTCTAAAAAAAAACAAGAAAGAAAAGAAAAGAAAGGCAAAAGACGATTAAACAAACTGTGGAAATAATGTATCGTAAACGTAATCGCGCATGGCTCAGAGAAACGAAGGACGACCGCTCGCGGTCTATTCCACATTCAGCGCGAATTCACAATCCGGGGATGCATTTAAAGACAGTTTGGGAGGGAGTGTGCAGCCAAGGTAAATTTCCCTTTCGTAAACGGTTGCTGCCATTTTTAAGACACTTAGACCTGTTATTAAGAGTGTTTCCATAAAAAAGAAAGAAGATTGCAGCCCAAGGTCGAACCCCGACCTTTCGTATCCTAAGAAGAAACAAAAAGCAAACTGCGGTGATAAAGATAAGAAAATATAAACGCATTTCTGGAAAGAAAAACACTTTAACTTGACGTTTTGTATGTTCAAACATCCTAATGTCTCTCGCTTACCGCTTCACTACAATACCGACCCACTAAAATTCCGAAAACGTTTAGTACATAAGCTAGCAAACTGTCTTTCTTAATGGTATGCTTTAGCTTATCAACCCTTTTTGTGGTGGGTGAAGTTTAGAGCCAGTGCTAAGGTGTCCCCTTAATGGAGGTTAAATGGAGGTAAAAGTGTCCCCTTGCCCTGAATAGAGGTGTCCCCTCAGTAGAGGTAAGTGAAACAAAGATTATATGAACATTTTTCGAGGACCAAACTTTCTGTCCCTTGAATAAAGGTGTCCCAAAGGAAAGGTTTCACTGCACTTTCCGGTCCGAAACGGGTCCCAATTGTTTTCTGGTCTTTTAGGCCAAATAGTGGAGTCTCTGATGCGTTTTTTGTTCGATTTATCATTGGGAATTTATTTGTGATCAACTGGACTGAACATCGACAATAGGTTACATGAAAATAAACTTACCTTAAATGAAACATCCATTTGTCAAAGAGATTCTGTAGTTTATGATACAAGTCAAATCTTTCCTTCGGGTGTGAAGTGGAGACTTGATTCAACTGGAGCAGAAGTTTCTGTAAAAAAAAAGACACAAAGTTAGGGTAAGCAGTAGCCTGCGTAGCAGGCGCTTGGAAGTAATGGGTGCAAAAAAAATACGGGGCGCGCGAGGGAGACACGTGTCCCCCCGTGTATCTCTCTCGCGCGCACCCGTTCTTTCTTTCACCCAAATACTTCCAAGGGCGTGCTACGCAGGCTAGGTAAGCGGGGGAGCAAATTTTTAAAGGTGGCGCAGTGGTGAGAGCACCCGCCGTCCACCAATGTGGTCTGGGTTCGAGTCGCAGCGTTGACGTAATATGTGGGTTGAGGTTGATTTTGGTTCTCTCCTTTGCCCCGAGAGGTTTTTCTTTGGCTATTCCGGTTTTCCTCTCTCCTTAAATAACAACACTTCCAAATTCAAGTTCGATCTGCAAAGCAATGGCAAATTTTTTGTTGTTGTTGTTGTTGTTTAAACTAGTTCTTAAGAACCTTTAAGTATTTCGTGGGTGAACAAATTACAGGTCATATTGACAAGGATGAAGGTAGGGGGATGGTTATCCTTGAGGGATCGGGTTACCCTTGGGTGATGAGAGAAACGTACCTGCAACACTTCAGGAAATGTCATATCAATCCGGATCAAGCCACAGTTTAATTCGTGCCAAAATGCGAAAACAGGCCGGAAGAGCCAGAAATTGCATTAGCCTGCTTACAACTACGGATTTGCTTACATTCGTAATAAAATATCATCATTACACCCTTGGCAGCCTCGCGTCGGAATCAAGTTATCCCACCTTAAAGGAGCTTTTTCACGAAATTTATCAAAATTCCCAAATACCGTAGTGGGAACAGCCACCAAATTAAGTGAAACATAAAAAATAACCGCCCAAAACGTTAAATGAAGGTATTAATAACACAGCAAATACAAAAACAGGCACGGATGGACAAACTCAAAGAAGATTGAAACGGATTGGCTAAGTGTGGTTTAGAAAACTTGTTACCCTCATAGTTTCTCAAAGTTCATTTTTGTTGTTTGTAACGTTTGAAATAAGGCTTGGGAGGCATATTCGTTTAACATGAAGCTGTGATTTTGTCATATGTAAGTAACTTCTCAAATTTCTTAGCGAATAAAAATTTAAGTTAAATTGACACTGTTAACAAAATGAAATAGACAGCCATGACACAGCCCCATTAATTGATTAGGTTTTAACTGAACCCTATTAAACTCGCGTTAAGAATGGCTGACTATTTACCCTTATACGCGGGTAATTCTCCTTGCAAGCGGGGCTAAAATCCGATAAAAAAACAATTAAAGGAGTATGCCCTCCTGCTGAAATGAAAAATTTTTTTGCGATGATCGGATTCTGGTCAACTCGAACACCTCCGAACTGAACAAATCAGTTCGATTAACACTTTGATCCTTTCTTCGGCGAACATTGGGAGATAAAAATCAAATTTTACGGGCCGAAGATTTCATGAGCTGACTTCTACGAGCTGTGCTATGCACCTTACTGGTAAATGCAGCTCGCTAAAAAGGTATGATTTTTTGCTCGTTTGTCCAGTTATTAGTAAACACAGTAAATATATCATCTATTCTTAGCCCGCGAGCAAGCTCTCCAGGGCGCTCCAGCGGGGGGCCGGAAGAGGAAGGAGAGCTTGCAACTACGTCTCTGGAATTTGAGTCACGCCTCCAATTCCCGCGTCCCCTGAGCTGTCAGATTTCAGACAAATTGGCGCGAAGCGGAAACGAGCGCGAATATAAACAAACATTGAAAACCACGTGAAAGCACGTGCCAAGGGTAACGACGCCATTACTAATGTCATCTCCGCCAATCAGCATTTCGCGACGACTTTTTTGAAGCAGATATTCAAATTGCAGAGGCGCAGTTGCAAGCTCTGCTTCCTTTTCCCGCCCCGCCGCCAGAGCGCCCCGAAGAGCAGGCTATCTATTCCAACCAGTTTTGACTTTATGTCAATGGCAAAGTTTTTTGTTCAAAATGTTTTGTTAGTACCAGTAATTTTTTTTTTAAAAATCTTACTAAAAATATGAATTCCCTTGCAGACACTACATCCATGTACACAGGTGCTGATCAAACCAGGGTTTTCGCAACCTAATTTTTAAAATTACTTTTCCAACAGTAACTTACTGTAACAAAACGCAAGTTATCAATGTAGCAGTAACAAGGCAGTGTATCATCACCTGTTGATCCATGCGAGGCATATTTAGCTTTGAAAGAGTGTGATCTGATGTGACGCACTTGGAGCTTTGCTGTTCAAAGTATTCTTCACGTGCATCCTCGATCTGATAAATAACACATTAAAGGAGTAAAGTTATTAAACCTTAAAAATTGACCCAAACCCTAACCCTAAACCTCTAACCCATACCTCCTTCCCCCTCCCCGACTCCCACGTATCTTATATTTTACACACAGTTACAACAATACCGTCGATCGGTTAGTTTAGTTAAAAGTGCCGTTCTCCGGGGGCGAACTCAAGGGTAGTTTAGGAAGAGCTGAGCCGCCGAGGCCTTTCCCACCCTTCTCTATCCTGTTTAAGATAAGAGACATCATTCTACAACCTTGATTCATTTCGTAAGCGTTCAAATTTCAGTAATTTTTTCAACTAAAAACGTGAAATTAGATTTTCATCCCAACTTTCAAGCTCTTTTGAAGTGTTCCTGTTCAAAAACACACTCCGTTAAAGAAGCCAAATAGTGAATTGAAGACTCAAGCCCTTGTAAACCAAAGGCCTGCCCCCGGGGCACGTAGCGGCGCTACGCCAACCGAAATTACTACACCACGGTGATTATAAACACGTTAATCTCATATAAATGCCGCAGCTTTACCTTGTCTGTGCATCCATTCGAAACTTGGCTGAAAATTCTGCGATATAAGAAACAACGTAAATTAATTTTAACCAAAGAGTTTACTGTTAAAAAGCATATAGCCAGGCGCGGATCTAGGATAAAAACTGACCGATTTCCCAAACGAGCAACAAAGGCGCAAGCTTGTAGGGGGGTCCGGGGGCATTTTCCGGGAAATGTTTTGAATTTTAACTCTCTAAAGTCACCTTTTCTTGGGTTTCCCTGTCATTCAGACTGAATATTGGCCAGATTTTAACTTGGAAAGTTTTTTTTTTTCATTACAAATATATTTCTTTATGAAAAATCTGACCGATTTTCGTAAAACGGTGGACTGGACTGGTGTGAATCCGCGCGTGATACCGTAAGAAATTGTATTGGGGGAGAACTGTCAGCCATTGTCAACAACAGTCCTATTGAGTAATACACTACCCTGACAGTCACATTCCACCCATACTATACAAATTTTAAAACTCAGAGCAACATGCCAATGTAAAAACAAAATCTAATATTTCGTTCGAATCGCTCGAACTTCGTCAACGATGTAAAATGTCATGTTATGTAACAGAAGAGTGGTTACGTGTTCCAATAGAGGATTGCAAATGGCCGATAGGTCCGGTCCCTAGTCCCCATTCAGAGGACATTCATTCTTTGCCTGATGGCAGAAGCCTCCCTGACGCGTCGCCTGATGGTGTCACCTTTGTCAGATAGAATACCAACATTGTGTGGGCCGATGCTGCCCGACCCGCCATACAGCAGCGCCCGAAAACGGCAGAAACCTGAGGGGACTGGCCATATGCAATCCTCCATCAAAAGTCTGTAAACTTGCCATTGTCATACAGTATATGTTGCGGATTTTATGGTTCAAACAAAAGTTAGTGAGCTTGAGTAACGACAACGTTGACGTCATGAATGGCAACCGGAAGTTTGGCTCTTCCAAGTCGCTTGAGGGAACACTTCTAACTACCCCGGGTGCCAGAGACTTTTTATGTACAGTTTCCGGTTTCGATCAAGGCTTATAGCATGAAAAATCCCTATCGTACCGAGGGTAACTTCTAACCAACAAAGTTTTTGGTTGTTTTTACACATGTAGTATGCATGACAATTTCGAGGGACACCACTGAAACTATTAAAACTAATCATACGTACTAATCGATACCTTGATGCCGGGGTATCATCAATTTCCCCACGTTCACTGTCAGAGTCTTCTGAATCTGATTCTCGCTGAATGCCTAACGAAATATGAAAACAAAACACTGATTGATGTCAATACTAGTGGGTCTAGTTTTCCCATTAATACTCACTGGTTCTTATCTTATATAACTAGTTCTGAAAAACTCAGCAAAAGCTGTCTTTCTACAGGCTCTCCTAAGGCTTAAGGCTGGTTTTCACTGGTGATGGAGTCGGAGTCAGAGTCGTAATCAAAAGGGCAGAGATTATGATCTAGTAAAAACAGCGTTCCGATTCCGGTACGACTCCGTCGCTTACGTTCCGCTTATAATCTAGTGAAAACCGTATTATCGGAGTCGGAAGCAGAAGCGGAAGAACCAAACAAATCACGAAGCGTGGGAATGTGCATTGTGATTGGTTTATCCTTCCGTTTAACTTCTGCTTACGACTCTGACAATCTGGTTTTCACTAGATCATAAGCGGAACGCAAGCGACGGAGTCGTAAGCGGAGTCGGAAGGAAAGGAAACGTTCTTATTCTTCTGACTCCGATTCCGTCGCATCTTACGACTCCGCTTACGACTCCAATATTTTGATTTTCACCAGGTCATAAGCGCTCTTACGATGTCGCTTCCGATTCCGTCGCTAGTGTTGACATGCGTGAAGCGCGAGAGCTGGGGATGAGAAGGGGATGATGGGAGCACCCCCGCTTAACTCAAATACCCGCCAAAATAGTAACCGCGAGCGACTGGAGAGAGAGCAGCAAAAGGAAAGCTAAATGGCGAGGAGAAATGAGAAAGAAGGGATTGGGGAGGATTTTTTTAGGACATTCACAAACCTCAAAATACTTCATATATACTCATTAAACAAGCTTTAGTCCAGTTTTAGGTTCGCCATGACCCCTAAATTATATGAAAACGCATTTGCAAACCACATTTTTTATCGTTTTTTGACCAGAAAAGTGCGATAAAATAAGGCTTCTGAAAGCAGCTTCAAATGGTGTTTACGAGTGTAAAGTTCAGGGGCAAATGGATTTAACTTAGACAAAGCAACGAGGGTGTGTATGGGAAAGAAGAGAACGAAAACAAACAAAGACCTTTTAAAAGCACAGCTTTTCTCCGGTGACGTAGAGAATATCCGCTAACATTGTGTTCATCTTGAGAACTTCCAGCTGCCTAAAGTATAAAGTAAGGCGTTAATGCTCAATTACAATTGAAAAAATTGCTTTTCTTTGGGAGACTGAAAGATATGATTCTCGATCTCAGATTCTTTGGTTTCGTTACCAAGAAAAAAATGCAACATCCTAGCGTCAAATTAGATTCTTTAAACATGGTTCAATTTGACGTTACATGACCCCCGGCAATATTTGGATTTCTGTCTTTCTTGGGTGGTCTAAACACGCGAAAACAAACACTGCCCCACCCCCGACATGGTTCAATTTTTGACCTGTTGCTTTTCAAGAGCAACATTGACTCCCCAAAACAAGACGTGTTCAGAACTTTTATAAACGTTTTCTATACCCCATGAACAATAAATTTGAAAACGGGAAGAAAATTTGCGATTTCTTTTGGACTTTCTTGCGGTGGTCTGTTCTGTAGCCGACTGCACCGACACAAGCACGACTTGGTTTCAGACGTCGAAGAATAAGACAGTCGAATGGAACCCCCACAGAACCCCAAAAACAAAACACAAAAATTTAGCTCCTGATAGGCCTCATCAACATGTTTTGGGGATAGATCTTTTTGAAACGAGTTTTCTTGTTCAATAAACTTGAAGAAATTTTCTTTGTTTCAACAAAAAAAAGCAAAACAAGACGTGTTCAGAACTTTTAGGTTATTCCATAAACGTTTTCTAGAAAAGCCCTAGTCTTCATTTCCACAGTCATCTTAGAGAAGGATTAATTTTTGGGTTGACCCTAGTAAAGGAAAAACCATGGACAGCACGCTCCCTAATTGAAAACTTTATAGGAATGAACAGATTATAGAAATAAATAGGACCATTGTCTCATGTGCATTTAGATATCTCAGCTTGGGAAAAATTCAGCTGAGAATCAAATTTCTTCCAACAAGAAGACTGAAAAGTAAATATTTGTGTGATCTTTCTACCAAAAAGAATCTGAAAATGATGCTACTTTATTTTTCACTACTCAGGCCCTCTAAAAATAATTGAACATTTTTTGTTTCCTTACAAAATGAGATTACCTCATCACCTTCAGAAGCTGAGACAGTATTTCTAGCACCTGAACCTAACAAAACAAAAGAACTAAAAATGAACGAAGCACTGATACAAAGCATATCCATTCATTTGAATGTCATCTGTTTACGATCCCCCCCCACCACTCCCCCATCACCCCCCAAGGAGAGAATATGTCATTTCAGCATATTTTACTTCAAGGCAAAAACTAGAATGGGAGAGGGGGTAATTATTAGAAGATGGGGTCGCAAACAATAATATTTTTTGTCTTTTCTTTTATGGTGATCAATGTGCTTTAATGACCCATAGATTTTATTGCCATTTATTTGTTACATTTAAACAAAGGTATATAAAACAAAACAATATTATTTATGGGCCCAGGGCAAAAAAATGGATGTATATGTTTAAAGTTATACCAGGGGCACCCAACGACAATTTTCGGAAAAATATCTGTTCGGAAGACGATTTGAGATCTAGAATTTTCGGAACATTTGTTGTACAATTTCTTGTTTGCCTGCCTCTCCTAGGGTTTTCGAACATCTAAAAAATGGTATAATTGCCTATTTTTAACGGATTTTTACCCTAAAAAGGTCACCTAGAATTTTCGGGAGCCTTTTTTCTGGCTGAAATTTTCGAAAAGGTAAGTTTTGATCCCTATAATTTTCGGATCATTAGACTTTCAGCTAGGAAATCCGAACTGGTGAAAAATTTGTAGGGGATAAAAATATGCTTATCTCTACCGTTGAAATACTAAAATACGTTTAACAATTCTATGTTTAAGTGGTTTTGAACTATATTCTCGTTGGGTGCCCCTGTTATACTGCCACTTACTGACAGACATTTAAACAAGACGTCACATTTTTATTACTAGATAATAATATCATTCAAACAAAAGAATGTTGACACATTTAAAGCTGGTAACATATCAATACATGAAAACAATGTATTTGTATGTGTAATAGATTTGTAGTGATTTTTAGCATAAATACCACCAGTGATATTTCAAAACTGTCATACGTAATTTCACGAGCCGTTACACAAGTGAAATTTGAGACAATTTTGAAATATCACAAGTGGTATTGTGCCAAATATCCGTACAAATTATGCTATTGTTTGTTTATACTACTACCACTGACAAAAGGTTTGTAATTTTCACATTGTAGGCATTTCAAATTAAGCTGAAATACCACTGCTCCAAGCCAATCAAATTGCAGAAGTTTCTCATGTAGTTGTATAAAATATAATAAATTATAAGCCAAACAACAATATGACCTCTTCAAATATTTCTCAAGTCTGCAGTCTGAAGTCATCAAAAAGCTGAGTTGGCTGAACTAACTTTTCATGATTACCAAGTAGTTACAGTAAAGGCTGTTTTACCTTTTTGATTCGTAGTTTTTGGGGTTTTTGTCCTCTTGCTTGTTGTTGCAGCATGGGCTGGTGTTTTGTTATGTATTGCTGAGGATGCTGAAAAACACATTTTAATATAAACATAAAAACGTAATGATAGCAGATCTAAAAATCCTTCAGAATGTTCAAGTTTGGATTGACGAATAACATTTCAAATTTGTAAAAGAAAAAAAAAGAAAAATATCCACCCAAATAAACAGTACCAATATCAGTCACCAAGACAACATTTTTGAATACAGGAAAATATATTTTATTGTTTATCTATTAAACAACTTGAATTAATAAAAAATCACAAATTTATTATCATATATGATATACAAAGTCGACTCCCCATACCTCAAACTATCCCTGGAAGGTTGGAGTTATCGGGAGTTTCGAAGCAAAAACTTGGGAATACTTAAGGAAATAAGCAAATGGGTTATTTAAGGAAAAATCCACACCCCCACGATGGAAGGCACACTTTTTAGTCCCCTCCTTCCTCCCGGATTTCCAAAACTGCCCCCCCCCCCCTCCACTCAGGATTTCCAACTTCAAACACCCCCCCTTCCATCCGGATTTCCATCTTTAGATGGCAAAATTTTCATTTACTATAATTATAAATGTACAGGACTCTTTGTGGCATTTAGATGGTCTTTTTTATTAAATTACACACGATTGTGGGTTTGATGTGAAATTTCAGATAATACTTTAGCATTTCTGATAGGATCAGGGGGAGGAATGCAACTATCATGCACACTTCACTTCACAGCAAAGAAGATATTGATTAATATTTTGAAAAAAGAATTATAAGCAACAAAGCTTGATTAATATACTGGGAAGGACACTGAATTTGCACTGGATTGACAAAAAAGTAAAAACAAAGAATTGACACCAAGAATTCTTGTTTTGTTTGTTTTTTCTTGTTTTGTTATTTTCTCAATGTTTCGGATTTCACTACACCGTTTTTTTTTTTTCGTTGTTGTTTTGTTTTGTTTTGTTTTGTTTTTTTTTTCAACATGGTTCACTGCAGTTATCAAGGGTAGAATTATATGGAAATGATCTGCAGGGAAACAAAAATTACTTTTATTCCAATGGCACACTTGAGTGCTGTTTATAAACAGACTGTCTTTTGGTTGCTTTTGCCTGCAGTGTCATTAATATGGGAGGCACCTCTGTCTAATGGTTTTGGGGACCAGCTAGATCGGAATTAGTGCTAGTGTCATGCCCTAGCTGTCTCTATGCATAAAATAGGGACCTTACGAAACTACGATGGCGATGGCAAGGAGAAAAGCAATAGGTTTAATGGACAAAACAACTCTGCACATGCATCTCGCTTTTTTATACATTCCTTTGCTGCCCCTGCACAACTACGACATGAAGTGACCAAATTTTAACTTTACTTGAGAACGGGAACGGCAAAGCGAAGAATTCTACCATGTCTGTCTGAACTTGGACTTGTTTTAAGTAACAGGGCAAATTGGGATAATCACAAAAAAGTTTAAAGGATGTGTAGTCTATTTTTCAGCAACCTTTTCCTGGACATCAGTAGCCTTTGTCGCATCGTAAGGTCCCGAATGTCATAAACCAGGGGAGGTCAGAACAGCACACATCACCCGAACCTAGCTGATCAACTGCCCCCCACCCCCCCCTCCCGTTTTTATCCAACCACCACTCATTTCTCCCTACCATGTTCTCTACCAATCTGCAACTACCCCAATTAAATGAGTTTTCAAAACTTGATAATAAATACTGTAATTACAGGCAAACTCACCAGCCTGTGCTAACGCACCACGTCGCTTGGGAGTTTGAAATCCATAGACTGTTGATCCACTGACTGGGGTATCACAATCACCAAGACCTACATGTATCAGGGTACAATTTACGAAAACCCATCAGAGGGAGTCCTAATGTCCCACACTAACCCCATACTTGTTTTACCCATTTGCCTGGTCTGCTTAAGATCTATTGCTCTTACTTTGTGGTTTGAATGGGTAGATTTATTTTTATAAAATAACTAAGATAGTACGTACGTTCTGATCGACCGAGAGGAGTGTTTGCATGTGAGCATGTAAACATGGTTGTGACGTCAAGATGTTTTGTTTTTTTGCGCGCTTATCACGCAGGCACGAATTAGAAAAAAGTTTTTTTATTTAATAACTCAACAAGTTTACTTTATTTACCCATTCCCTGGTCTGATGAAACTTGGAAAATCTTTACAAACAAGCTGTTTCATTTTTTTTTTTTTTCGCTTAAGCTGACATTTTAAGCCAAAAAATCCGTATTTTGGATAGCATCTTTTTGCAAAAGAAGAACTGATTTTGAGTGCAAGACTTAGTGTACAAGACTTTGCGACTGGTAAGAGTTTCTCTTTTAATCAGTGCCATAACAAAGAGTTTTGCGTTTTTTCTCGGGAAATTTCTGTGTTTGGATAGCCTGATATAAACACTCGAGGGGTTGGGAGAATTCTGTCTCAAATTCTCATTGAACGCCTCTCATGTTTATATCAGGCAGTGCAAACACGGAAAACGTTTTCTATTGCTTAAATGCTTCATACGTTGAGCACCAATGCCAGTGGGGTGGGATACTCCACTCCAAGGGGGTCGATTTGGGGGAGTGGGGTACTGCAAAAGAGACAGTCTCCAGATTTCAGATCTCCTGAGAGGTTGGCATCTTCGTAAAAATTGTAGGTGTGGATTGTGTAGTTGTTAACACTGATGACCGAAAACCAAAAAATATTTATCACAGGAGATCACAGGATAATCAAAATGTGCCTGCTCTGACAATATGAAGATAAGGAGCAATAAGCATTAATTATGCATGATGAGGACTAATTAAGCTTACAGCTGATTCAATAGAGGCTGCTTTGGAAACTGCGCACTGGGCAGCTTTTTTTCGTGGTCACTGAAGTAAATTATTGCAGTGACCTTCAAATACCCGGTGTCCAATTACCAGATCCCAATGCACTAAGCAACCTTTAAGGAATCAGCTGAGCTAACCGTACATAAAGCACATGTGTATACAACTTTGGCTCACGGGTTTTCAATGATCTACGCAGTAAAGAAAGAACCAAAAGAGAATGGCCCAAAACACTTCCGTTACAAAATTAATTGCAGCGAAAAACGAAACTTACTCGTCGAAACAGTCTTTCGCTTGACTTTTTCTATCTTCGGAACCTCTTCATCACTGACAAATTCAATTTCGTCCGCCATTATATTGAGCCATTGATTGAACCCAGGGCCTCACGGTCACCGAAGTAGAGCCCAGTCCCTATACAGCATTTGGAAGAATGTGTTATTGTGGTTTGCAGAACCATGGCTGCTTTTCCGATTTCTCGAGGTCCACTTCTAATACTTTCGATATTAATCATTACTGCGTTCGTCTTACGTGCTTTTCTAAGTGTTCCTTCTGCATCAAGTCTTGGATCCCGACGACAAATTACTATGCTTACATTCAACATTTGGTATCCGTCTGTAAAGATGAAAGAGCGGATGAACGCGCTGGGGGAAATAGTGCAAAACTTGAAACCAGATATTTTGACTTTTCAAGAAGTGACGCTGGACAATCTTGCGCTATTGCGAAGACAACACTGGTTTGATCGATATAACGTAGTTCCACCTGACCCCGAGCTCGAAATCAGGAAACATGAGGGGAAGCATTTTGTAGTTATTTTGACCGTTTATCCAGTAGACAAGTGGTTTATTTACCCTCTAAAAAATTCTCCAGTTTACCATCGTAAGCTGGTCAGAGCAGAAACCAAGAGCGCTGTTTCTTCAAATGTCAGATTTGTTATCGCAACGACTCACTTGGTACATGCGGCTTCCAATACGCAGAAGCGTGAGTTGCAATTAAAAGAAACACTGAAGGTTCTCTCAGGCTACAAAAATGTGTGTGTTATGGGTGATATGAACATCAATGAGGGTAAATTTAAAGCTGATGGGGAAGTTGTCTTGCCTTATTCTTGGTCTGATGCATGGTTGTCGCTTCCTGGAAACACAGTTAGCAATGGAAATACTTGGGATCAGAGCAGGAATGCATTTGCATCCATGCAGAGCAACACAAATACAACAAAGATCTATAAAGCAAGAGTTGACCGGGTCTTCTGTAAACTGTCAGACTTTAAAGTCAAGGAAATGAGGATTGTTGGTAATGAGTCGACAAAATCTGGTGTTCTACCCAGTGATCATTTTGGTCTGTTCACCATCATTGAATTATCTTCCCGCAAAACTCAGCATAAAAAAACATCAGCAGTAACCGAGGTTTTCTTTAAGAGATCACCAGACTGGGGAAAACTGATTAACCAAAAAGATGAAAAAAGCTGATTTAAGGAGGTTAAATCAACAAAAGTATGCAAGTATGTAAAAATTGCTTAACTGTTGCACTAGAGTTTAAGATCCCTTCCCCCACCAGCCATGTTTGCCCACCCCCCCCCCCCCCTTCAACATGCACAAAACCTAAACCTCTCCTTACCCTGTGAAGGGTATGGTTTTCAAACAGTTTAGTCTGGGATAGGGGAAAGAAATCAAAGAATTTGGATCTAGAATAAGTTAATGTTTTCCAGGAAAATGATCAAATGGTTCAAGATTTTAGTCTAGAGTGAGGAAACTGGGAATTTGCATTAAAAGTAATGAGATCAGCAAATTTGAATTTACCAGCAACTAAGAAGGCTCAGGGCTCACATGTCCCTCGCAGCAACCATCTCCACCCAAAAATTTCTGAAGTAGACCCACCCCCCCTGTCTGCTGATAGTGATTCGTCATGTTTAATAAGTTAAAATGGATTCCTTTTTTATGAAGAAAGTAAGATGAGCAGTTGCTGTCTAGTTTTCAGACTTATTTATGGTACCTTACCCAATTATTTAAACAAAGATTTTACTGTTAATAATCAAGTTCATAGTAGAAATACCAGGTATGCGCTAAATGTTTTTTACTTCTTCCACGGCGACCACTCAGTAGTGTTCACTTGTTCCTAAGTAATCAACGCTTTCAAGCAATAGAATTCGTGGACCGATACGTTCCGGAAAAGCTCTAAATTTAATCTTTCCTAAGATTTCGTTGCAAAATATGCGTGGCTTCGATCATGCAACGATTCTTAGTCCCAGTGTCCTTGGTCTCCGCAAGGAGTGCCTGGCACAATGACGTCCCTTTTGTGTCCTAAATACGACCAAAAATTCAGGGGGTTACTTCCACAAAAATTGGGTGGGGGTGTGCGGCATGCTTCCTGAAATCCTTGACCTATTTCAGACCAAAATCTGTGATTTTCCCTACCCTATCTCAGACCTGATCAAAAATTTGATTCCCTATTTCAGACCCGAAGCCCTGGAGCCCGGCACATGACCAGAGCACGTCACAAGTTGTTACGGCATGTACACGGTAGTTGGCGTAAACACTAAAAGGGAAACAGTCTCATTGCCAAGTGATGAAGAAGTAGCTAATTCTTCTTAAAAACATACCCAATTCAAGATTAGAGTGCACAAACCATACCCTATTTCAGACCAAAATGGTCGAAATTGATACCCTATTTCAGACCAAAACGGCTAAAAAACATACCCTTTGGCACGGCACATACCTATCTGGCCTATATAATAATAAAGGACTAATTAAGATGTAAGGATTCTCTCCCCAATTTTAAGAAGCAGTTTATTTAATTTAATTTTTAAAGAACAACTTAGGTTAAATCATTTTAATATTTAGCTTGCTTTTAATATTTAATTACATGTATAAATTATGTTCATAGAATTTTTAGATGTTTTTAGATTATAGAATTTTTAGATTAGATAGAACTAGTTTTTAGATATTTACATTTTTTGTATTTTTTTTTCTTTTCTAATTTTTTGAGGGCCTCAAGTTCATTAGTGGTTACCCTTTTTAAATAAAGTGTTTACTTAATTACTTAATTATTCACAAATTTTATGAGACAAATAGGAGACCACTACACACTAAATCTCACTAAACAAGCTCAGAGACATTGAGTGCTTGGTTCTCAGTGGGTAGAGAATATTGAACTGTTTTGTATGAGAAAGAAACTCTAGTTGATCTCCTAGATTTGGCTGTAAATATTAGGGCAGATCCAGTGATGTCCAAACTCTTGCAGAACACGTTGAAATGGTCTTACAGCTAATTATTTCCACAATTCCTTGGCATTAAGGGTTACTTTGTAACAACATACACCCTTATATGTGATCCTTACAAAAAGTAATAATACCAAGCTTCAGTTCAAAGCTCTTATAGGTAATTATTATATGACTACAATATGTGCACTTTAATTGGCTGCTAAGCTAAGACTTTCTTGTAATGACTAGGCATTACTAGGTAGGTGTCCAAGGCATATACAATCTGTGTTTTTAAACACAAAACTTGATCGTTGACATTCATATTATGGTCAATTGACAGCTGTCTAAAAAGGTTATCCACTGACCAGTTTCACTTGACTGTAGTGCAGGCTCAAGTGTACAACTAACTGAGGTGACGTGTTTTTGAAATTATCAGCTGACCAGTTATTGGTTTTTAATGATTGCAGGCTCAGGTCCAAAATTTCTCATCGTCAAAGAAATTAAGTCTTGTGGTTTCGACTGCATTGTCAGCGGTTTGATTTTGGTTCAGTGAACACAACTTTAAATGACCTGTTACGCACAGGTATTGAAAATCACTTCCTGTGTTTTATATTGTGGTAATTTTAAGAATAGGGCTAAACAGGCCATATAATAAATAACTTATTAACCTCATCTGTTTGGTCATTACAGGGAAATCTCAGACCTCAGCAGCCTTAATGTATCACCTGGTCAATACATTAAGCCCTCTTTCTGAGATTTCTCTGTAATGACCTCACTCTAAGTTTTGAAGTATTCAATGAAGAATTTTTGGGTACATTTAGGGGGCTCTTCCCACCACACCCTTATACTGGATCTCCCACTGAATATCCAGTCGTCTAAGGTTATTATTGAGGTGCCTTAACCCTCTGTTTCAAAGTGAGTCCAAGTGCGAAAACCATCAATATGAAAGTGGTTTTTCATTCTCATGCAAATAAAATTCATTTTCACAAGGAAAGGTTCAATGAGAATATAGTGCTCTTCGTGTCCCTTTTCAATAAGTGCCATAATTGAAATGGCCTGGAGGAGTAGCTTTCGGGGGACTAGACTGTTCACAGTCCCCTATTTTCCCGTGAGATCGTCGAGATCGAGCGCGTCTTACCGTTAATGGCGGCCATCTTGATTTAATAGACTCGGTGCATTTGAAATCAAGATGGCGGCCATTAACGGTAGGACGCGCCCGATCTCGACTATGTCAAGGAAAAATAGGGGACTGTGAACAGTCGGGGGACAGGGAACAGTTAGAAGCATTTTCTCCCCACACCTGCCTCAGAACTGTAAACTGTAACCAACGATTCCCACCACTATCCAAACTAGTACGGCTCCAGTTTCTATGTATCAAAACATTGTCCCTGCAAAGTGTCAACGAAATCAGCTGGGAATGGTTCAAAGCATTACAGTTGGCAGGTGCGACAGTCAGCCACTGGTCGGTTACAAATTCAGTTATGCTGAGTGGCTCTGGGGACGAGAAATGGTGCAATTGGTGTTCTTTGACTAGTGCCAGTCCTCCTCTAACTTAAATAATTGACAGGAGAAAGACGTTTATCGTCCTTGCCTCATTCCGATTTTTTTATGAGGAGACTATTAGTAACCACTTTTTGGACCTACTAAAGAAAAACGGTTTGCTCTTTATCTGGTGGGAATTTCGACTTAAGGTGACTCGACCCAGTTTTTTTTTTTTTGGGGGTACCATCCTACTTTGAAGCTCTCTGGTATCCCCACCTTTACTTTTATCGTAAGTGTAACACATAGAATGGATAACATATAGATGAATCTACAATATAACATAAAATTTTTGGCGATCGGAGTAAATGTCACGTGGTTATAATGCCACGCCCCTTTGAGGTCTGAGTCGAAAATCTGCTGTTGCCGACATTTTTTTGTGAAAATCTCTCGGCTACACATAGTGTGCATTAGTGTCTTGCGCTGAACAGAGTTTCACCAAAATCGCAAACACCTAATTCGAGAAATTCAGCGGTTTCCAAATTTAGGTCATAATTTATGCGGAAATGATAAGCAAACTTTACACGGATTATATCTAATAAACCAAGAGATTCATCCCTTTATTTTGGGCATCGTTATAACAGATCGGTCCTTGCAAGTCAGCAAAACGCTTTAGGGCCTTGTAAATGCGCGCGATTTCGAGCAAAGCAAACATATAGAAATTATAGTTTTCGTTATTTGTTGACGTTTGTCAGCGTTTGACAGTCCTTCTCACGAAAAAAGCATTTTCTTAAAAATTCGTGGTTTTTTTCCTTCAAATTTTTTCAGGGCCACAATTGATTAACTAACTACCCGGACTCTGAATTTCATGGTCATTGAAAAACTGTGACATTATCTTCTTTAAGCTCAAACTTGAGTAAACATTGAAGATTTTTAGCGTTTTGGCTGAGTTTGTGCTTTGGGAGTTGCCTATTGTTTCTAGTCTGTCATTATACAGCATTCTTGTTCAGCACGCGTGCAATGACCACGCTTGCCTGACTTCCGAATGCTCACCGAGATATTCCCGTCACGAGTTGGTTTAATTATTGGCTTGCATTAAACCTATGAAAAAATGATATTTTTGTAATAGTAAGTAGATTTAGTGTGTAGCACTTGATTTTTTTGCAAAGACACAAGAAGCACGAGAATTGATTAAAAATTGTTAGTTAACTCTATATATCACGCGATGGCCTGTCTCACTGTACCAAAATTATAATATCTCGGTGAGCATTCGGAAGTCAGCCAAGCTCGGTCATTGCACGCGGCGCGTGCTGAACAAGAATGCTGTATCATGACAGACTAGAAACAATAGACAACTCCCAAAGCACAAACTCAGCCAAAACGCTAAAAATTTTCAATGTTTACTCAAGTTTGAGTTTATAGAAGATAATGTCACAGTTTTTCAATGACCATGAAATTCAGAGTCCGGGTAGTTAGTTAATCAATTGTGGCCCTGAAAAAAGTTGAAGGAAAAAAAACTACGAATTTTTAAGAAAATGTGTTTTTCGTGAGAAGGACTCTTAAACTCTGACAAACGTCAACAAATAGCGAAAACTATAATTTCTATATGTTTGCTTTGCTCGAAATCGCGCGCATTTACAAGGCCCTAAAGCGTTTTGCTGACTTGCAAGGACCCATCTGTTATAACGATGACCAAAATAAAGAGATGAATCTCATAGTTTATTATATATAATACGTGTAAAGTTTGCTTATCATTTTCGCATAAATTATGACCTAAATTTGGAAACCGCTGAATTTCTTGAATTGGTTCTTTGCGATTTTGGTGAAACTCTGTTCAGCGCAAGGCACTAATGCGCACTATGTGTAGCCGAGAGATTTTCACGAAAAAATGCCGGCAACAGCAGATTTTCGACTCAGACCTCAAAGGGGCGTGGCATTATAACCACGTGACATTTACTCCGATCGCCAAAAATTTTATGTTATATTGTAGATTCATCTATATGTTATCCATTCTATGTGTTAGACTTACGATAAAAGTAAAGGTGGGGATACCAGAGAGCTTCAAAGTAGGATGGTACCCCCCAAAAAAAAACTGGTCGAGTCACCTTAAAGCATTTCTCGATTAAACAGGGGGTGGTTGGTCACGTGATGCAGTTATAAACATTTTTTAAAATGAACTTTCAAGATTTCTTGGTTATGATTGGCCTTAAATTATTAGTCCTGAGATATCTTGAAAATACTTAACAATTATACCACCCCCCTTTAAAAATTCTGAAAAATCCGTAAAGACCCAGGCCTTAATCTACTCTAGGGGTTGAGGACATAAAAGCAGGCCAAGTTAACGCCGACAGTTCCGTCTTGCTTTAAAATGTTCCGTTAAATGAGTAATAAGCAGTGATCATGAGGTATCGACGAATGGGCCCTCTCCAGGCAGGCAGGCAGTAGCGAAATCATTGGGTTTGGAGCAAGTAAGCATGGAACTAACAAGTGTGGTTTCGCGTTCTTTGAAAATTATCATTCTAACTCGCTCAATTTGAAAAATGTAGGAGTTAAATATCCATGTTCAAAACGAGAAAGACAAAGTCGTTATTGTTTGCTTATTTTTAAATGTGAAAATAGGCAATTTTGCTTCTTATTCGTGCATTGATGGCGAAAAAAAGTACCGAAAAGTGTTCTGCACGTATACGCATATTGGGATACGCAATCAGTTTTTAGGCAGGCGTATTTTGGCAACCTCAATGGCCATTGATATATAAAGAAGCCCGAAACTAAATATAAAAGGATAAAACAAGACAAATTTTAACAACTAAAATGCAATATCAATACTGCAATTACTGTAGGATATGGATCCAGGCCAAAAAAATGAGTTAATTGCCATTTTCTCTGCCCACGATCAGCTCATGTTCAAAGATTTTATTATCTCAATTTCCCCATGACGAGCAAGCAGACATGCCATAGTGTTCTGTAAAATTTACTACCTATGCGCAGTGGCATGGCTGTCCACAAAAATGTATCTGACCAGAGATAAGTATTTGAGAGTAATGTATAACTTTTGAATTTAGCAATCACATATACTCACAGAAAACTGGCAAATTACACTCTTGCGGCCGGTAATGCAAGCGTTCCCTGAGGCGTGTTATTTTGGTGCTTAAGCGTGAAAAATTTCTTTGCTTGGGAGCTGCCAAAAAAGAATTTTACAAGTAAACAAACTGAAAGACAGTATAAGGCTGATATACGTTATTGTGATTCCACGCACATAAAGCTTCAGTGAAGTTCATCCAAACATTTTACGTCAATGGCAGCCTCGTGGTTAATTCGTTTGATCTTTCTGGCTGTTAATGTTCTGAGCGCAAATTTACTGGTGATATCCAACTCCGACTTCTGTGCGAGCGTTTTTGAAACTAAGAATGGTAATTTAACACGTTCGGCTCTATAAAACAGTTTTCGACAACTTTTTCTATATCTCTCTGCCCAAACAAAAAATACCCGCCATTTAAAGCACTTTAAAAGCCCTTCCTCTTCTTGACTATTTCTGGTGTTGAAATTTAATACTTATATTACATGTACAACTTCTATCACTTTTTTTTACTTCTGACGATTCCCGCTCGCTCGTATCTAATCCCAGCAAGAGGCCTAAAGTCGTTTCCAGAATTCTATCTGAATTTGGAAAAATTAAGGAAACCGGAAAGATGTGTCATGTTATGAGCATCGATGAGTAGGTTACCTGTATGGGTTGGTTTAATGTGCTTATGACTGAATTTATAGTAGCCTGCGTGGCAGGCTACTATATTTCTCCTCAATCCACATCCCCTTTTTGCTTCCTCCCTATCCCTACCTCTTCTGACACCTGCTACGCAAGCTAAATTTATAGTTGTTAGTGGTCGCAAGGATGGAGTTGATCTTGTTTTGATCCATCGCTATGTAGTTATTTTCGTAGCACGATTTGGATAAGAAAAAGAAGTTATTTTGCATCAAAACAAGGTTTACCCGTGTAACTTAAATCGGAATGTTAACGGAACAAGTAATGGAGAACCTGCGCATAAATTAATGCTCTCTGATTAACCTGAACGGGAACTATATGTATAAAGATACGTCATATCTTGCTAGTAAGTTGCCACAGCTAACTTTTTCAAAGAGAAATAAACATTGTAGTTTTAGGTTAATGGAACAAAACAAAACAAAACATCCGCTTGCTTTATCCAGGGTCGAACCAGGGTTACAAAGTTTGATAAAGTTCCAATGTTTTAATCCAAGATGAAAGTTTAATGTTCCAAGATTCTCTTGATACGGTTAAAACTTAATTGCAATGTGTTTCCAAGGTCTCAAAGTTAACATAGTTCCAATGATTATCCCTGATTCCAAGGTATAATAAGTTTACTAAGGTCCTGATCCATGTCCCATCCAGAAGTCCAATCCTTGCCGAATGCGAGTCGTCGATCGACGAGGACAATATTTTCGCAATTTCTCCGCCAATCGTCAAGGGTACGTCTTGACATTTAGGTGATTTAACCTCCCATCGTCAAGGTGTTTTCGATAAGAAAGTAAAAAAACTGGACTCTAGCTGTGCTCGGCAAAAACAGGCGAACTCCGAATAGAAAAATCTATCGGAAATCGCGGCCCGCAACCAGACGCTACTAAAACCTTATGAAAAAGCTAGACCTAAACAAAAAAGAATCATGAAGGGAAGAAATAATTTGGCTTAGGTCGCCTTTCGTGACTTGCCAGTATCCCGAAGGCTTTCGCTGGTTAACAAGCCATCCTAAACCACGAGTGGGAAAACTCAAGAGCGACAAATTTGGCAAGGAACGTTCTGATTTCAACGTTCTTCAAAGGAAGCAAATCGATTAAAAATCGATACAGATTTTGTACAATCTGATTGGTCGGCTTCGAAGAAGAGATAATCGATAAAGATTTTAGGCAATCCTATTGGCTGGCTTTGCAATTTTGGGTACAACCGAACCGGATTTTTACCTTGGGAGTGCCACAGGCATCCAACGGAATTAAGAAAGCAAGTATATCTTTTATTATAAAAAGGCAAAGCTAAACTAAGATAATATTTGCCCCTGGTTCATGATAAAGTATATACTGTTTTATTGCATATTCCCCCGTTCTTTATTATTTTTTCTTTCAGATCATGTTTTAGTTGGTCATGTCATGAATACGTCAGCGGTTGCTGACGAGTTTGAATGTCACCAAAAATGCCTCAGAAATAACAGCTGCAAGTCATTTAATGTTCATCCCGGTACAGATAATACTAAACGAGTTTGTGAGCTGAACAACAAAACACGGCAAACGACGCAGGATAAATTTAAAAAGAAGAAAGGATCTTCTTATTATGGACATGTTAAGGTTAACGCAAAACAACCAATTAAAACACTTGTTCACGACGGTCACCCTGAATTCAATTATGAGACAACAGATTAGTATTTAATTTCTTTAACTTTCCGGCTCAAATTCTCAAAAAATAGAAATCACCTTTGATCACAGTAGATTAGGCTTGAAAAACAATTTTTTTCCAAACAAGATAACCTATTCGCACACTTACACCGTCTTATTTTATAAGGTTAATAGGCTACTTCCGAGCTCCAAAAACCCTCACTTTCAAAATGAGGCGAAGTGCACAACCTTTCTTGTGAAAATGAGTTTTATTTACATGAGAATGAAAAATAATTTCCATATCAAAGGCTTAGCACTTAACCTCGTTTTGATACAGAGGCACGGGGAAACAAGGAAATCGCCTATTGAACAGCCCCGAAATATAATTTTATGTTGTAAAGGAAGGTTATGAGACACGATAGTCCTCGGTTGCAGCCAATTTACACTTTATAATTTATTGGTTGTATCCCTCCATGGTCTTATCGTCGAGAAGTATGGTGCAGCCCTGCGGGAGATGAGATTAACAATCCAGGCTTGAACTGCACCATCGTATCCTTACATTACTTATTGTTTAGCGTTGTATTTCAGTTGTATCTCGGTACGTGTGCGCGTACAATTTAATTTAATTTTTAATTTATTTAATTGACGTGTACATTTAGTTCGTTAATTAACGTCTTAATTTTACTTTGCGTTATTTTCCTCACTTACATCTGTTGTCTGTGACTGTACTCACATGGTGGGTGGCTCCTCCTAAAATGTTCTGCAATTGGTATAGGATTTAATGGAAAACCAATTAAGGAATTGTACGCATTTTAGGCATCCTACTTAGTGATGAACAGTTGCGACACGTAGATATATATTTTTTAGCAACTAATATAATTTGCAGTCTGTCTACTTTGAATTGCAGTATTCTGCTTGCAGAATTTAATATGTCTACTTGTTATTTTTGCTGATCAAGGTCTTTATAGATCCTACGTTTGGCATATTCGTTTGCGGTTTTAGTCCTTTGTGGTTAATGTTTGTAAATTATGTATTTTTGGGCCCTAGATCTTTTATAGATCCGATATGCTGTAATTTTTGCATGGTTCTGTCCATGTTTTTGAGGTTGGTTTTGACCAATCCTATATTTTCTTTGCGACACATCAACTTGACACTTGGACACTTGCCCCCCAGAAGGCACGTAGTATGGCGTGATTCTGTGGGGGTTGAGAGTTCTAGGTTAGGGCTTAAATCATAGTGCGTGGATATTTTTCATCAGAGTTTTCTCTGGTTGTTACGCCATACTGACGAGGCCCAAAAAGGAGCGAAACAGCTGTCTACGGCTACAGTCCCGCTCTGTTTTGAGTTCTTTCATTGTCGTGTTGATGTCCTGCAAAGTTAATTTTCACGTAGTACGATCAGCATTGCAGTATTCTGCTTGCAGAATTTAATATGTCTACTTGTTATTTTTGCTGATCAGGTCTTTATAGACTGAACATGGCCAACGCGTGACCATGGTGAGAAAATCCAAAGCAACTACCTTTCCTGCCTGTTAAAAACTGGCTGAGATTTCGCGTCCGAAGCCAGTTGGAAATCAATATTTTAATTGTGCAGCTCAGAAACACAACTTTATTTCCTGTGCATTGAAGAAAAATTGAACTTGAGCCAACGAATATTTAAAAAGTAGTAACTTGTCAGCGGATAAGTTCATAAAAACGCAAACTCGATGAATCAACACATGAGCCCGCGATACGGCCATGTGATATTGCTCAGCCAATACCCTGTTTTGACAGCTGTCACCTGACAAAAACATGGATGTCCAATATCAGGTTACAGACTCCCACAATACGTAGAAAGTGTGAGATTTAATATTGGTTCCCCTATAGTGCAGACAGACGGACGGACGGTCACGTGACCAAATTTTCCCGGATAGATAGAAATGCGCGCGTCGAGCTCCGCTATTAAAACAATCTTTCTTACTGTTTTTACAAATGTACAACTTCGATAAAATACCTCTTTATCTTCACATTTTTCTTTCAGGAGGCTGGCTCCTCGTTTCCAACATCACGATGGAAAGTTCAACTCCTCCCTCTTAGCTGCCAATCAAGACTTCATACCGTGGAATAACCAGTGATCAGATGGTTCTCACAAAAACCGCCATGAATGAGCTGAGAACAAACTTGTCTTTCACCCAACTGAGATTCCACTGCAGTAAAAACAATGGACGTACGTTCCACGTGACCACTGTTGCTAACAGCACTGGTGAAGCTGCAGTCCAGTACTTCAGCGGTCAGACGGATGTCCAGCCCGCCTCGTGTGGCTCATACGTCAGAATGGAAAATGACAACTCAGGGTCAGCAGGTGTTTGCCAAAAGTGGGGATTGGAAAGTGGCTCATTTGAGGTAGCTAAATGGGGTGCTGGATTTGATCAAGAGAGATTATACGACCACCCTGCTTTTGCTAGAGATTCATATCATTGGGCGCTTAATCATCCAGACTACAGTGGTGGCCAAGCAAAAAGGTGGGAATGCGATGATTATCTTGTTGGCGTGAACACCGGTGATTTCTGGAAGATTTACGTTCGCTAAAATATTTATACGTTGACGTCTGTTTTATTATTAGTCTTATTGGCTGTAGACGTTTAAAAAGTACTAGTAGTAAAATGACGGCATGGTACAAATAGCCCATTGCTAACTTAGATGAAAATACCTTGATTTCAAGCCATTTATAAAACATAAAAATACAAATATAACTGTTACAAGAGATTTTTCTTATATTCGTCATTTAAAGTAAGCTTTATATCAGTTTTCGTATATTGCATTTAGTTTTCAAGTATTAGCTTTGAATAAAGCCACAAAAAGCTCATGTAATTTAATCATTGTGCCGTTTGCTTTCAACTGTGTCGCATGCACCAAAGTCACTAAATATCAAATTATCCTAGAAAAGCCAACTATAGAGCTTATTCATATATAAGCAAGCAAACTGAGGCCCAGTTACGCAGTCTAAGCCCCGGGGGATACTTCCTGCAATGGCCTATACGGGAGGCACTCCTAGAAAGGGCTACCTTTGTCAGGTGTCAGGTATAAGATATGGTGGGGATTTTATTCAAGTTGAAGTATAAGAAAGGGCAGGGAAATCTGTCTGTAAAAAGACCTAAAGTTGCTAGAAGAATTTATGGCTGTGTCAAAAACATTTCCTGGTTTTGTGATTTATTTATATTTTAAAGGCAGTGCATTTTTAACAGTTAAAAGGGATACAAGGTTCTAAATTAGATATGAGAAAGTCAGAAAGGGATCCTTTTTTTAATGGAAGATATACGGATATATTAAAACTGAAGTGTTGAGTGATCAATTTGCTACAGTTTTCACAGACGAACTGAATCTACTGATTTAACATCCCAAGTAAGGGCCCTAGTATGATCGCAGACATTCCCCCTCTGAAGTTTGAAGTTTGAGGCATAACACGCTTGTTAAGAAACGTTAACGCCAAAAAGGCCTGTGGTCCTGACAATATTTCTCTCGCTGGGTTCTGAAAGACGCTGCGCCTGTCATTACCTTATTTCTCCAGTATATTTTTACTCTATCAATACAAAACAGATCAAGTCCCAAGTGACTGGGTCACTGCAAATGTCACGGCCCCAGTTTTCAAAAAAGGAATCCCAAAAAGCCAAGTAATTACAGACCGATTTCTCTAACATCTGTGTCTTGTAAGATTATAGAACATATTATATACCGGCACATCATGAATCACCTTGATTCAAATACTATTCTGATACATTATCAACGTGGCTTCAGACAACGGCACTCTTATGAAATGCAACTGATCACAATTATTGAATCAGTAGCAGGTAACCTTGGCCTTGGTCAATAAAATGATTTGTTGTTACTCGACTTTTCAAAGGCATTCGACACGGTGCCCCATCGCCGATTGTTGAATAAATTAAATTTCTATGGAATTCGTGGAAATCTCAAGACCTGGTTCGAACAATGGCTAACCACCTGATATTAAATATTCCCGTTAGATCAGGTATGCCCCAGGGGACTGTGTTGGGCCCACTCATGTTCCAGACCTTTTGTACATAAACGATATCGGCGAAAACACAAAAGTCCAAATTGGCCTTTTCGCGGACGACGAGGTATTTTACTTTGGTGTAATCAAAGATTGTAATGATGCAGAGTCACTACAGCAAAACCTAAACACATTGTACACTGAGCGGACACGTGGCAGCTCTCGTTTAATGCAACGAAATGCGCCATCCTAAGAGTCTTGTGCTCAAAAACTAACTCTAGTTAAATACCAATACACCATCCACGGAGAACCCTTGGAAGCTGTTGATCACTATAAATACCTTGGAGTTGAGCTATCCAGTGATCTAAACTGGGATTTTCATATTGCTGGAATTATAGGCACAGCCAACAGATCTCTTGGCTTTATAAGAAGAAGCCTAAATAAGTTCCCAGAAAACGTAAAAGAGCAAGCCTATCTTGCTTTAGTTAGACCACAGCTTGAATATGGATGTTTCGCATAGGACCCGCACAGTCAAAAGCAGATAAAGGACACTGAGAGTATAGCATCACTCCTGGAACTGTCACAAAACTTCTGACTGATATGAAATGGCCAACACTCGAGAAAAGAAGGAAAGTTGCACGACTCACAATGATGTTTAAAGTGGTCTCTGGTCATCAGCTATACCCATTTCCACCCTGTATACGATTTAAAAGACGTCAGGGCACTAGGCAATTCCATCCTAAGAAATTCTTTCAAGTTAATGCCAAAACAAACAAATATAGCAACGCAGTTTTATTGCACGTACAATCAGACACTGGAAATCTTTACAAAGTTGTCTCATTAAAAAGCAGTCAGTGGAGGCTTTCAAAACGGCCATCATGAGCCATCTTTAAAAACGCTAACCCGGAACTTTTTATTATTACTATCTTTATTCACTCGACATTCGCACCTTGATTATATCTTAACACAAGCACCTGTACAATTACACATCCGCCGTGATGGGAAATTCCCTTTGCAGATAACACAATAAGAATTAGAATCAGAATAACGGAAGGGCTACCTGCCAAATTTCATGCTTTTAACAGAAAGTGAACAATTGAAGCACATATCTGCTCCGCTTTGTCAAAAATTATATTTAAGAGGGTAAGGGGTTGGACCTTGGGGCGGTACCTCTCTGTACAAAACTTTGTTGAGTACCCCCCGATCCAAACTGAAAGGATTAAGTTCATGATAACTTTGTCTTCTGTCGCAGTCAAGTTTGTTTGAATGAGTTTGCATCGACTAAAACCAAGGCCAAACGTCGAACTTTTCATGAGACGAACCAAACAGAGTGATTTAAATTAATGATAAGTTCAACGTTTGTCTCAGTTTAGCTACTCTGAATATTAAAGTTTGCTGGATCGCCAAACAAGTTCTTCTAGTCCGCTAAAGATCGATTTTCGGGGACAAACATGGTAGACATCAGGTGAACACGCCAATAAAGTGTTTGTATTATACGGGCCCGGGGGGTACTCCCCTATGTATCTATGTGCTGCCCCAAAGGGGTTTTCCGCCGTTTTGGTCTGAAGACGGGTGTAGACTTTACTCATTTTGGTCTGGAATCGGGTATGGTTTTCGAGGGAACTGCGGGAGTGTACGAACGTATTTATTGTTTCAGTTCCAAATGAGTAAGAAAGAAAAAGAAATATGCCAATTCGAATGGGTTTTAAGAATTTTTTTTTTTTTTTGCTGTTGTAATCTAAGTAATGATGACATCATTTCTTAAAGACCAGGTCTGAAAACAGGTGTGAAAAATAACATTTTTTGGTCTGAAATAGGGTCAGCATTTGGAGAACCGGGCGGCACACCCCCATCAAGAATTCCCAGAAATGCCCCCTCGGGTATCTGGGTTTCCGTAAAATGCTGTTTATTCATTAAAAATTAATATATTGAGCTGTTTGTTGGAACAAAGAGAATCGTCTGTTATTAAAGGGTTCCTGCAAAGCAGGCTTCCAACAACGACTTTAAAATGTTTCACGCCCTTTCTTACTTTTCAACTTAGTTCGACTCTTACACAAGTTCGACGTTGGTGACCCAGTAGTCGAACTCAACTGAAGTAAGGTCGACCCAAATAGTAATTTGACTCGTCCCATAAAAACTCCCCCCACCCCTTCCCCCCCTCCGCCTAAATTGCAAACTCAAGCGGCCCGATTATTTAGTTTCCGAGCCAATATCCAGAATAGACAACATGTTCGGTCTTTCTTCCCCTTTAACTCGGTTAGGGTCGCTTTTTTAAAGTCTCTAAGACAAGTTGTTTGTACTCTCTGTTCCCGTTGGGGGTCTGATAGTTTCCATCCAAATTTACATTTTTCTTTTCGGTCTCGGCGACTTTTTTGCGATTTGTTTCGCAACCTTTATTTATTATTTTGACGCACTTAATAAGGTCCGAAGCCTCTCCGCCCTATCCCTTCCTCCGAACCTAACCTAATAGCAAGCCAACAAAACTGCTTTGCAAAATTCACCGACGAATTAACAAAAAAAACAAAACAAAGTACGACACAGTCCACAAAATAATTAAAAAAACACCCTTTACCCCTGTTTCAATGGAAGGTTGAAATTTAATAGTTTTCTCGTGGAGTATCACTTGGAATTCGGAGGATCAAGGGTTTAATTGAGAACGGTCGCGTTAAGTGTCGTAAAGTTCAAGTTGAACCATAGATCGAGCTTCTCCAACCCACTCTGAAATTTATCCATCTTTTTTGTTTATTTTTGGTTTTTAAAGCTGAAAAATTTTCGGATATGCCACCTCCTGAGGCAGTGCAATTTGGCAAGGTATAAGTGGCCGTCGATTAATTAATAGTCCCTAAACTAAAAAGATAAAACGAGACATCTTAATAATTAAATACTACATCAATACTGCACTTAGCAGGTGGATCCAGGCCAAAAACTGGTTTAATCACCACTCTCTTTAATTTTACCCGTATGAATGCACAATAAATATGCCCAAGCAATAGCTCATTTATTTCCCTCAGGTTCGATTGAGTCTGACCGTAAATCATTAGTATTTCAGAAAACTGAATTATATTCAGTTTAGCAGTCACACGTAAGGAGCCCGGCCCCGGACTCTTAAGGCCGGTAATGCTGGCGTTCTCGGGGGGCGTCAGTATTATTACTAGAATTCGCATATATTATTGCTTTTTCATCTTGCGGTGCTTCTTTTAAAATAGACGTTTCCTTGAACAAAAAAGTACACTTGTTTTACAGGCTTACTTGAAATTGAAGTTTAGCTCGACTCTTATAAGTAAAATCTTTTTTAAGCAGTTTTATTTAGTACTTACAAAAACACTTATGAATTATAAATTGCTTTGCATGGGAGCTGTCATCGCAAAAGAGTTTTACAACTAAACAAACTAAATTAAAAACGGAACAACCTCTCTATAAGGCTGACACTTAATAGTCGGCACGTACAGGTAGCACAGTGAAGATCACAATCATCCAAAAATTTTCCTTCGATGGCAGCTTCACGGCTCATTCGTTTGGTTTTTCTGACTGTTAATGTTCTGATGGCAGTGGTACTGGTGATATCCAACTCGGACTTCTGTGCCAGCGTTTTTGAAACTAAAACAGGTAAATTAACTCCTGCGGCTTTATAAAACGGTTTTCTAAAACGTTTTCTAAGATGCAAACAAACTACCGTTTTTATTTTTTTTTGTTTTTTTTTTTCAAAGTTTAGTTTTCAGTAGACTCTTTTATTACATGTTTTAAATGGTCATTGTGATAAATCTGAGATGACAAACTCGGGCATTTTAAAAGCATTAGTTTCCTCTTATCGACTTTATCTGATGTTAAAATTGCTTACAACTTTTATCACTTTTTTAACTTCTGACGATTCGCGCTTGTATCAAATCGCAATTTTGCAAGCGAGTATATCTCTTTATCGTAAAAGATTATAAAACTGTTCAGCTAAAAAAATGAATTAATGTATGTCCTAGCTTCATGTTAAACTCCATTGTATTTTGCTTATTCCCCTGTTTTATATTACTTCATGTTTCAGACCATGTTTTAGTTGGTCATGTCATGAGTACATCAACTGTTGCTGACGAGTTTGAATGTCACCAAAAATGTCTCAGAAATAACAGCTGCAAGTCGTTTAATGTTGATCCTGGTGCAGATATTGCAAAACGACTTTGTGAGCTGAACAACAAAACACGGAAGATGAAGCCGGACGATTTCATTAGGAAGAAAGGATCTTCTTATTATGGACAAGTTAAGGTCAGATCCACTGTTTGAACATAAACTATCGCTTTTTTATAAAACTGTTATTTAAAAAAACTCTAAACTCTAAACAACTAATTAGGGACCTTAAGATCAGACGACGGCGACGGCAACGAGAACGTCATAAAAGCAATAGGTTTTTAAAACAAGCAAGTTATTAAAATAAGAAAAACAACAAGAAAAAAACAACTTTCCTCGTGCATAACACTTTTTTGTACATTTCTTTACGTTTTGCACGACAATGACGTTAAAATGCCTAATTTCATGTTTTATAGAGGATGTCATTAAAACATTCAAGCAACGACGAGATTTTCTCTCTTTTCTTACCTTGGGTAAGGTTCTTAGAATTCAACTCCAGGAGAGTTCGTGTACATTCGACAAAGTAAGCGTGATGGAACAATCGCGATGACGACTGGAAAACCGCGAAAACATTTTTAAGCGACGTTTTACCTGCTGTCGCCGTCCTCGCATCTTAAGGTCCCTATTAAAACATTTGTTTACGACGTTCACACCCTGTTCGGTTTTCTCGGAATCTTAAGAGACAAGTATTTAATTTCTTAGATTTTTCGGCTCAAATTCTATGGAGTTTTGAGATCAGCTTCTTACGAATTACTTGATATTATTCGAATTTAAGTGGTTATCTTTGCAGAACTCTAATATCGTAAATAGTACTTTTGGCGACATTTTCTTTTAAATAATGTTTTTGGCACCGGTTTGCCTGTGTCTTAGTAACGTATATGTTTTTACCCACACGGAAAATATCGCGTATGGCAGGGTATAAAAAGAAGGTATATCAATATATTTAACAATCATCATGAGTATCATATAAAAATTATATAGATCGAGGAGGGTGTTATCCGCCTCGACCGTTAGCCACTGAGTCAGAAACGGAGAAATATTTTGAATGAATAATAATTATTTATATTACTTCTAAAGCAAACAAAAGTGGTAATAACTAAAGCACATAATGACGTCATCTATAGCTGTTATCTATTGTTTGATGTTTCTCATTTCAATTCGTTATTTTCTTCTCAGGTTTCCTACCAACATCTGCCCACCAACAAGAAAAAAAACAAACTGGTCATTGTCATCCGGACTACAAAGGGAAAGATGTGAAATTCGTGAGTAACGCTCGTCTATTTTTGAATTTGATTTTACTATTGCCTCGCGGAGGAGCAAATATTTACCATATATAGTCATTTTTTTTTATTATCTGCTACAGCAAAGCCGGCTACAGCAAAGCCGCGAGGCTGGAATTCCAAGCTGCCTGCTTATTCCTGTAAGAGCATCCGGGACTCTGGTGACTCTAAAGGAGACGGGAGGTACTGGATCGACCCTGAGAACAGTGGAAACCCGTTGAACGTTTACTGCGACATGACAACTGACGGAGGTGAGATCTAATCTTGAAAGTCTGAAATTGTTGTAATACATTCGTCAGATGAACCCACATAACTTCCTCATACAGAATAGGGAATAATTTATGCTAAGTAGGTTCCTAATTTGGTCCTTAATTTCTATGAAGGGAAAAAATAGATTGTTGATTACCAGAAAAATATATTAACACGAGTTTGGTCCTTACGACTGAGGTTTTTAGTCACAATTTTATTTTTATGACCGTAACAAAACTGATTACCGAATTTATATACAGTTTGGTACAGTATCTTCTTGTTATACTTTCACTTTTAATTGCTTATCATAATTTAACTGTACCACATATTAGAACCGTCTTGATCTTGCTTAGCTAAACAGGTTCTTGTGTTTTGGGGTTTTAAAGGGGCAAATGTCGGCAAGAAGGTTCTTAATCCATCAGGGTTTTTTTTACGCGAGTGTTTACTGTATATGTTTCTTTGAAATGTCCTGGTGAATAATTTTCGCAACATTATTATGCCTTTGAGGGTAATCCATCTTACTGCACTCGCAAATGAGATGATTTCGTGTCGCATCTTCATCTCCACACAATCTGCAGAGGGGAGACACATCCTGTTTTTCAATGGATGTCTTAATTACATTCGTCCTCAGTGCCTGATCTTGTGTGGCAGTTATAAGCCCTTCGGTCTCTTTCTTCCAATCCCCCTTCTTCAACCAATCCCATGACCTCTTAGCCTTGACTTGTTCTGTTTGACGCAATATCTGGCCATGAAGGAAATTGTCTTCCACTTCTTAATCTTCTCAAAAGTTTCCTCCTTCTCATCGTCTGTTTGTGGGGGGTTCCTCATTTTCTTTCTTATCTCTTCAAGTTCTACTGTTTTTTGCAGTGGTTCCGAGATGTTTTGAACGCAATAGGCCAACTTCATCTCTTCATCGAGAACACACTCTTCCAGGCCATTCAATATACAGCCCCCGGAAAGTCGTCGAAAGTAGGATCGGGCAACATCAGCTCGTGGATAAAACATAACATAAACAGTTAACTGTTTATGGTTATCTTTTTTTTTTTTTCTATTTCTATCCATGGCTTCTAGTTCAGCTTTACTTTAGTTTACTTCTTCAGTTCCATGCCAGACAAGTGACAGAGCCTATGAATTTGTTGCAAGTACAGTATTTTCCCACTGACATTGGACTGTATTTAGTCTCCGGAAATATTCTTTCTTCATAACGTTTTTCTTGTGCCCTTGAAATAGATCGTCATATTCCAGAATTCCCAGGTTCTTATAGCCGTCTTCTTCCGCTGATTTCATTTTGCGATTATCAGGCGAGGTAATCCCCACAATTTTCTTAACATTTTCCCTCTTTAACGCCACGCCTTTTCATACCAAACGTCATGCCTATATCCGGTAATGAACACCGCGTGTATTGACCAGTGAGTGAAGCTCACGTTCATCCTTCCCGTACAGCTTCAAGTCATCTATAAACAGTAAATGAATGATTGACTCCTCTTTCTTGTCTAACTAGTATCTTCCTTATGGATTTTATTATTATTATTGTTATTATTATGTAAAATTTAGCACAGTGATTTTCCCTGGGGAGAAATATCCAGTCAAGTCTCATCCCGAGACCTCAGACTTCCAGCACCTTTCTGAGGAAATGTGCCGATCCGAGGAGTGCCGACTTTTGCATCGTTCTTGTTCGGTTTTTAATTCCTAGTTGCTCCAAGTGGCCTGCCAGCTTCTTTGACACTGAACCCAATGCACCTACAACCACTGGCACCACTTTTGTCCTTGATTTCCAGATCCTTTGAATCTCTCTTGCCAGGTCTTGGTACTTTTCACACTTTTCAGTTTCTTTCTGCAGTATATTACTATCTCCGGGAACAGCTATGTCCACAATGATTGTTTCCTTTGCCTTCTTTTTCTGAATTACAATGTCTGGCCTCCTGTGATGGATTTCACGGTCTGTTTGGATGGTAAAGTCCCATAACAGTTTAACCTCCTCATTCTCTTCTACGCTTTTGGGGGAATGCTCATACCATTTGTCACTGCACTCAACTCATTATTATTATTATTATTGTTATTGTTATTGTTATTGTTATTGTTATTGTTATTGTTATTGTTATTGTTATTGTTATTGTTATTGTTATTGTTATTGTTATTGTTATTGTTATTGTTATTGTTATTGTTATTGTTATTGTTATTATTATTGTTATTATTGCTGTTGTTGTTATTATCATTACGTGATAACGGGGGTTAACAGAGGTCCAGAAGCATTGTTGCGGGAAAGGCTCTCACGATGTCTAGCTAAAATGGACTGAGCAAATGAACAGAGATGTTTTGGATTGTAAGAGACGGGCCATTAGAATGGACCCACCAGAAAACCTACCGCGAAACGGGAATGGTAGAAAGAGAGGCTCGCTGGGAACGCTGCTGTTTGGTGCAGTTGAGGATGTGCACGAGTCAAATTATAATGAGATCGCTAGTGATTTGATTAAAGAAGCAGCACTAAGAACGAGAGGCGCTGTAGGTCCCTGGAATGTAGACGCTATGGCTTTCAAAGGATCCTTGCTAACAAGTCATTCAAGAATTCTGGCTCTAATTTGTGCGACGCTCTTGTTAATCAAACCTAATAGAATTTCGAAATATTTTCAGATAAAAGCAACTTCTTAAATGTCTATAGAGTGCGTTTTGAAGAATATGGGAACTGGTGTTTCCAGTTTGGAGATTCTTCAGGACTAGAAGTCCATGAAGATCTTGCTGAAATAGCGTGATTTGAAATATCTTAAAACTTTGTGACAGTTAATATCAATCTGCATTATTGACGGTTGACGGTAAAAAATACCCTTATGACGGTTGACGGTTAAATTTTTTGCCGTTTGGCGGCTGACGGTTAACCCTATTGAAACGGCCCGTGGCATCTCAAGTCTTCACACCTGGACAACCAGGGTGAAAATAGCAAAAACTGTCTCGAATACGAAGGGCAAATAATGCACCTACCAATGTAATGCCGGCGAGGGGGGAGGCAGGGCATAGGGTGGGGATTTGACTTTTTTCAAAAATTTTCAATCAAATTCCCTGCCCACGGGCAAATCATTCCAGTCAAATGCAACCAAATTTCCCCACCCCAGGCTGCACATTGCTGTCAATCCCAAGGCAGAACCTAAGAAAGGCACAATAAAAATATCTCCAAATAAAACTCTGCAATCTTTTATAAACGTTGCTGCATAACCAAAGATGCATGTTCTGTTACAGCTGCAATTATACGTTTTAACCATAATCCGTGTTACACTGCGTAGAATACATAAACCTTTAGGAGAAAGTCCACGTTTTGTAAGTCTAAATATACCGTTCTTAGTTAAGGGTACAAAGAAAGTCAGTTTTATAAGTTTACAGTGATTGTAGCGAATGAGCCATACACTAATCAATTTTACTTGCAAAAATCGACTCGGTTTCTCTTTACTTCCGCTTACTTTGATACCACAGTATATTAAGAGGTTCAATTGATCCAAAACACGCTAAAACAAACGAAACTTGAAGACAAAACAGTGAAATCCACTCAGCCTTCGCTTGCTCTCATGGGCCTCCATGACTTCCTGATCTTTTCAAACCGTATGGCGCATGCGTGAAGCGTGGAAGCGGGAAACATATGTTCGGTCTCAGTCTTTTTCGTCCGAGTTGGCAGTCAAATATCTCCACGTCGGGCGAAGAAAGATTCAAATATCCCCTCCCCCGGGAGAACAAGATAAGTCAAATGCCCTACCCCAGGGACTTGGTACATGGCCAAATAGGCGACTTTCGCTACAAGTTTAGTCGCCAATTCTTATTCTTTACTCGCCATGGCGACCAAAATGGTCGCAGCTTGGAGCGCTGAATTTATTAGTGTTTTAAAATAATGTACAATTTATTGATTTAAGTTAAGCAGTCACGTGTAATTGTTTTTGTAAACAAAATTTGACAGCCAGTAATGCAGGCGTTTTCTCAGAGCTTGGGGATCGCTCGATTACTCTTTACTGATTCTCAGCTCTGCTTTCAAAATAAGAGTTTCCCTTGTCCAACAAAAACCTGCTAATTTTGCAGACCGCCACGTAAATTCGTCAGAGGCAGTTTCAATGGTGTATCCAAAGGGGACCGGAGTTACTGGAGCGACCCTGAGAAGAGTGGAAACCCGTTGAAAGTTTATTGTGGTCGACATGAGAGTTGTGAGATCTGCTCTTAAAACTGTTCTTCACATGAACTCACATAACTTCCCTTCAACAGAATGTTAGTTAAAACTTGGAAAGCCTAAAACAGATCAAGACAATTAGAATTATCAATTACTGGATAAGGATGATCTGCATAAGAGAAAACAGACATTGTTTGCTGCCGGGTCAGCTTTTCTCTAAGTTATACCTGTACCTTTAAAACGGTTGTTTTCCTTATTAAAAAACAACTTTCCATTTCAGGAGGATGGCTCCTCGTTTCCAACGTTGTGATTGGTTCAACTCCACCCTCTCAGCTTCCAGTCAAGACTTCATACCGTGGAATAACCAGCGATCAGATGGTTCTCACAAAAACCGCCATGAATGAGCTGAGAACAAACTTGTCTTTCACCCAACTGAGATTCCACTGCAGTAAAAACAATGGACGTACGTTCCACGTGACCACTGTTGCTAACACCACCGGTGAAGCTGTAGTCCGGTACTTCAGCGGTCAGACGGATGTCCAGCCCGCCTCGTGTGGCTCATATGTCAGAATGGAAAATGACAACTCAAGCCTGGCAAGAGTTTGCCAAAATTGGGGATCGGAAAATGGCGTGTACACAGTTGGCAAATGGGGTCATGGTCAAAATCAAGACAGGCTGTATATATATTCTGCTTTCATAGTTAGCGAATATCATTGGTACATGAACCCACCTTATTTTTTTTTTTTTTTGCGATGATAAAATCCCAAATCCAACATCTGGTGATTTCTGGAAAGTCTATGTTCGCTAAGAACTCGCAAAATTGATTGCATTGTCTAAATATGTATCTTATTAAGATACTTTCTTTGTATAGTTTTGGAGTGAAAATACGTTGGGTAGCAATTATCATGTGAAAAATCAGATAGTAAGTTAGATATTTAAAGAACTTTTTGAAAACTTATGTTCATTTGCATTTTATCCTCGTTTTTAGCTTCTATTTATTAATTCGTGTTTTCCTTATTTTCTCTTATTTATTTAAGCTTGCTTAATTAAACTTTTTGCCTTGAAGTTTTACCCGCTTTTCACATTTATTAACATTTTCAAGTATATAGCTGCAATATTTTGTCATATATACAATCTTTCCTAAGTTTCACGTTTGCCTTTTATCATTGTTTGTTTGCATTTATTCAGTCAAGAGCAATTATTAAATTCAAATAGCAACTAAACGTTATTCCTAGAGAGTGTAATGAATGCAAGTAACGTGTGTGCATTCACTCGCTGAGCTGATGTAGCGATGTCGAGTTTTAACAGGCGAAAACTATCATTAGTACGTATACATTTAATAATATTCAAACCATATATGTGACGATATCGTTCGTCGCCATAAACTATCATTGGTGCATTGAGCCATATTCGAACAATATATGTGGCGATATCGTTTGTCGTAATAACCCAAATCCATCTAGATTTCTGGAAAGTCTATGCTCTCTAAAACGTTGAAACAGTGTTTTTCAGTCAACGTTCTTATTTTTTTTTTGTTTAATTATTGTAATGTAATCCGACATTAATGCAAATGTACGATATATGAAGTATACTATGTTACAAGAATGAAAATGCAGAAGGTCAAATTGCAAGTTGCTCAAAAGAAGGGTCAAATGTGGCTTTGGAGAAGAAAGTTAATTAACGTTACTTGAGAGTGATGAGATATGCTTGAACGAACCATTTTAGCTTAGCAATGCTATTAATTTACGATAATCCCTAAATACTAGTGCGTAGATTCAACTTGTTCGATTTCAGTTCCACAAAATGTATACTTCTGTTTTGGTAGATTATTTTAAGGGATTAAAAACCAATTCGCCGTCGATGTTGCTACTGTTCTTAATTCTGCAGATCTTCTTGTTATTCGTCGGGATTTCCAATATTAGCACTCAATATGTAACACCATGACTGCAATACTGCATCATTCGCAAAAGTTTTACGTTAGTATGCAGACAATAAGGTAAGTAGTTACCTACGTCTTAACAACACTAACAGAGGACCCAGAAATGTTCCTTGGAGAATCCCAAAGGAAACAGGGCAGGCTTTCTACTCTTCAATTCGAGTCTGAAATAAAGTTTACTGCTATTTTCAGTAAACTCTGGGCTGGATAAAAAACTGTATTTGCTATCACAACTCAACTACAATGAACTTTCGAGAGCACAAAAAATACTTCCGCTCGGCGCTACACCCCATATTCAAACTCATACATCCCTGGGCAGTGGTAGCCTGTTCACAGACCCTCTATTTTATCTTTAGGGGGCGACCATTGACTATTGAGAAAAGTGGGGGGTGGAATGGGTGATCTGGTTTGGGTAAGATTTTTTTTTCCCAAATCTCTGGAGATATAATTTTTTCCCTGACATTCAATGGTGTAAGATATTTCTTTCAGTATTATACGCCATGATAAATATATTTTTTTGAGTGCAGGATATTTTTTCCCTCGAAAACAGTCTGCACTATATTTTTTTTCTGAAATCACCGAAACCTCTCTCAAAAGTTCAATGGTCGGTCACTTAGAGGGCTATTTTTAAAACAGGGAACGGAGAATCGGCGAATAGGGATGGCGAACGGGGAATCTTTTTAAATAGCGAGAATTTTTGAACTGATGTCTCCAGTCTTTGGCCCTCGTTAAATGTGAAAATGACCAGGATAACTGGAAACAAATCGCTGCCTGACATATTTCACAATTTTACCCTCATCGGGCCGAACTTGAGTCCCGCTGTTTGCTGCTTCACAGCACGGATGAATGGGATGCACTTGCACTAAAGGATTAGGAGGATATGAAAAGGAACATGTTATTCAAAAATAAAATGCTTCTTCAGTCTGTTCAGTAAGCCTTGCTATCGATTTTTTTGCAAAAGAGCTTTCAAGATTGAAAAGAAACGAAAACAAAAAGCGGTAACAAACAGTGGGAAAAGTGAAGTACATAACAATAATGCATACTCGTTTTATCCGCCTTATCTGTGTTTATTCCTTTTTGCGTAATTCACTTGCTAATAAATTCAAACAAACAGGACCCAAAATACTCGTTTTATCCGCCTTACCTCTGTTAATTCCTTTTAGTGTAATGATTCACTAGCTGATAAATTCAAACAAACAGGACCCAAAATAGTCATGGATACAAAATCATTCACATTCAGCCTGAGCTCTTCAATAAAACAATACTTTTATAGAAGGCCAAACAAAGATACAAGAATTCAGGATCTAGGAAAACAACGGAAAAAGGATTCACTACTAAGCATACAAACAATTTGCTTTGTCATTGACTTGTATTCCCTTTGTTTTGAACAGCCTATCTAGTCTAGTTGAACCTTTCCCAGGAGGTAGGCAACTGAAGGGGGTTTCTAGCGTCTGGTCTGTCACGAGGCTGGAAAGGTGCGCAGGCTTCGTACAAGTTCCAAACGTTGCGCCAGTCTAGTTGGCATCTCTCAGCATACTTTTCAGACGGGCTTAACCTTCTGCCATCACGAAGGAAACGGATAATCTTGTCCTTGGTGTCGCCAGTTTCCTTGATCTTGCTTCAGGACTTCCTCGTACGGATGATGAAGACAAGGGTTTAATAAATTATATAGAAGCATTCCGTAGGCCCACATGTCAACGACCAACAGATCCTCAACAGTGGCTCCTGCAGGTGAGATCTCGCTTCCGAGAAGAATTTCCGGTGTCATGTATGGTATTATTTTAATCGGTAACACCTATACAAAATGGTAATACTGAATAAACTTGTTGTTGTTGTTGTTGTTGTTGTTGTTGTATTGACCCCTGTCGATGTTTACAGTTCTTGATCGGCAAACAGATCGTGATTGCACAACTTTTGACCTACTTTCTCCAAAGTCAGTGAGCTTGCAGATCACTGGTTGATGGCTCCATGCGTAGGCAATTTTATCGCGATTTCTTTCCTCGCTTTAATGATGATTGCTGACGAGGACGTTCGCTATTTTCAAATCTCTCTGCGCGATTCCTCTTTCATGCAAGTACAGTAATCCACTGCCAATATCCGACGCGATCCTGTTCATAAAATTTGTGTCCACCCCATTACAATCCCCTGCGTCAAGGCAACTGACAAAGTCTTTCAATGAACTGACTTTTCCCTTTCCTCCGAAAACGTAGCCTGCGTAGCAGGCGCTTGGAAGTAGCGGGCGAAAGAGAGAACGGGCGCGCGCGAGGGAGACACGCACGCACTCGTGTCTTCTTCTCGCGCGCCCGTTTTTTCTTGTGCCCACTATTTTTTGCGCCTGCTACGCAGGCTACCGAAAACGCTTAGGTCAAAATAAACATACTCCAGCATTAAAACTGCGAGTGGCTCGAGACAAACAGCTTTAAATTGTACTACTGATATTGCCGTGATTGAGATCATGCAGTAAACGAGCTTCTTTAGTGAATTATGCATCGATAAATTGTAAAGACGAACCAAACAATTTCTTTACAACAACTGGCTTGCTTGAATTCCTGTCCAGGTCTTACTCTTTAGCACACTTTGTCACAAAAACCGCTCCGAAAGAGCTTTGTCCAACCACATCCTGTTCCCCTAGATCACTCCATTTAAATTTTGTAAGGCCTTCAAAGCGAACGATTCGCCTCTTCTTCACCGTGAAATTTCCAGGAGACAACATGGCGTAGAAAGAGGTAAAACAAAGCACGTAGTGGCTACAAATCTACGAATATTCCCGCCAAAATGCTGCGCAAAAAAATGATAATTTCTCTGTAGAGCACTGTTTAAAGTTGTCATGAAATATTAAATTCTCCTCAGTCTTTTGTTTCCCTAATGCGACAACCGGGGGTCTGTTTGATTTTTATTTTTTAACGGCAATATAAACCGGATCGCAGGTTATAGATGGTTATAGATGAATGAGCTACAAATTGTAGTAGCTGAGCGGTGGTAACCACAGTCTTTTTAAGAGCGACCGCCAAGAAAAATTGAGCAAATTCTCGATTTTTCTGCAAAAGTTTCATAAAAAAGCTCTTTTATTTTAGAGAATAACAAGTAATTCAGTTTGCAAGTTTAGAAGTAGAGTCGAGACGGTTTCTGCGGAGGACTCCCGTATAAAGGGGGGGGTATTTATCATTTCTCGCTTCGGAGTGTAAATTGTACATTAATTTTGGGTCTTGAAGGACGTACGCCCGAGGTAAGCTCTGACCGATAAAAAGTGACTTTAATAAACGTTCGTCGGAAAATTAAAATTTTAAAACCCTCTAGAGACCAGCGTGGGTCAGCAGACCATGACAGACTGTTATCAGTCCTTTACTTAATGATTATTAATGGGCGGGATTTCATGTGCTTCATTTAAAAAATAATTGCATTTTAATTTGTCTAGGTAATAATATACACGAAAAACATGACTACAACAACAAATTTTGGCAGCGCGTGCGTTTTTAGTTCATTCACTGATTGGCTGAAAGAGACTACTACCTTTGTGACATTTAAAATCATTCAGCTAAGAACTTGGAAATGTGCAAGGATTGATTTCACACCAGCCTGTTAAAGATAACTCGGTTTACAACAATCAGCAAAAGTAAGGGTTTTTAGAATCATCCTCGATTATGAAAGCGTTTACAAAAGATTCCCGCTTTTAAAGATTCCGCGTTTTTAAGATTCGCCATTTTAAAGATTCCCGCTTTTAAAGATTCCCAATTAAAAGATTCCCGCTTTTTAAGATTCCCCACTTTAAAGATTGCCGCTTTTAAAGATTCCCATTTTTAAAGATTCCCCGTTCCCCGTTCCCCATTCCCTATTCCCATTTCCGATTCCCCGTTCCTTCTTTTAAAGATAGCCCCAGTTAGAGCTCAGCACGTCACGAGATTCGACCAATCAGAATGCGTAGTTTATAGAGCGATTTTCGCGCTTGGAAAGAGCCGTTTTCAGAGGTATATGTGGTGAGATTTTCGCTTTATTCCAAGCTTGTGCAGGTAATTTCGACACTATACCGCCGAGGAAAGTTGTTGGAAAACTTTATCTTGATAGTGGTTGCATTATTTTTAAATACTTTGCTTTCTTGAGCGTCTGTGACAAGTTTGAAGGCTTTCTACTCTTCAATTCGAGTCTGACGCTGGATTCGATAAAAACAGGAGCCCATCAAATGGAGCCGCCATCTCCATTAATTTCGTGAGTCAACCCTTTCCCGAGTAGATTTATAAATAGAACGGCTTGTTTCCCGCGAAAAGTGTCATATTTCCGTGAGTCTCGTATGTCACCGTGAAAAAAATGAAGTTGGATGAAGTCGAACTCAGAAGTCCGTCCTTCGACCGTTTTTCTTTTTTACTATGCGTCCATTTTTACAATTTTACAGCCGCTGGGATCTGGGTATCATGAAATAAAAGTAATGAATTACCCGACTGAGACTGAGCATGAAGCGATGGGACAAAGGCAGCGAACTGAGGATCACGGAAAGGTTATCTTTGCGAGTGTTTTTTGTTTTTTTTTTTTTTGGCCGTCATGAATCCCACATTTAAGCATGCACCTTGAAAAGAGTCGACGATTAAGCGTTCTGTGGACGATTTGGAACTTTTCGATGATCAGCGCCGAAAAAGTGCCAGGATCATTTGATTTTTGTCATCACCGTGGAGAGGATTTCGCCAGTTAAGCACCGATGACCTAAGTAGCAACTAACGAGGAATGCTTCAGTTCCGAAATTTGAGAAATTGCAGTCTTCCTTTACAACTGACTTGTATCACCATGAGAGTTGCCTGATAAAACTGGCACTTGAAAAGTTGAACAGAAGACAACAGTTGCTCGACCGTGAAGCTAACCCAAAAGTAATTTGCTAACGGAGGAATTTGTGACATCGCGCTCCAGTCCAAAGACCCACTTATCCCAAGAAAAACAAAATGGATTGTATCTGCGCCAAAAGAATTATGACTGACTAACAGGACAATTCTCAGCAGTTAATGTAGAAGTTTAGGCTCAATTCTCTCCTTCGAATTCGCATCTGTAGATCACTTTTTTTGCGAGAAAACAATGGCTGGGCCCGGCGTTACAAAACATAGCAGGGAATCATCACACTAGCTGACGGACAAAACAACCACAAGGACTACAAGTATTTCTTCAGATAAACGTATTTCGGAAAAAAAAAAACTTGAAAAACTAGAAATTTGATTAATATTGAGTCATTTAGCCGAAGTAAGAACCTTAAAAAAACGAATCCTGTCAGAACTACAGACTGCAGGAAGTAGTTAATCATTATGCATGTCACAGACCAGCTTCATGGCCTCTTAATGTAAGACAAGCAACCAAAATTGAGATTAACATAGTCAGAGTTTAAAACTCTCCACAGTATAATCTACCCGGTAGAAAGAAGAGAAAGAAAATCTCCGAGGGATGAAAACGCTAAAGTCACGTTTCACTAGCTTATGATTGTGTAAGGCCTGTCAACACCGAATTTCCTGCTGTTTGATGAAATACAATAGCAGTGTCATTTCGTCGTTGTGATTGGCGCTTCCCACCGTCGGCGCGCTAAGTCTCCCCTGGGAACCGTTCTAATTATAAATCTACTCGGGAAAGGGTTGACTCCAAGGGCTTGTATGGGAGATGGAGGCTCCATTGCCACCGCAAATCAACTACAATGAACGTTCGAGAGCACAAAATACTGCTTCCGCTCCACCGCTACACCGCATGTGCAATGCAGTCTCTTAGCTTCTCTTACATCCCTAGGCAGTAGTAGCCTGTTTACAGACCCTCTATTTTCTCTTGCGGGCTCAACCATTTGACTTTTGAAGGGGGGAGGTAAGGGTGGTTTGGCTTGAGTAAGAATTTTTTTCCCCCAAATCTCTGGAGATAGAATCTTTTTTCCTGACATATAAAGGTGTGAGATTTTGTTCAGCATTATACGCCATGTTGAAAATTTTTTGGAGTGCAGGTGTCTCCTTGTAAGATATCTTTTTCTCTCGAAATCAGTCTCCAGTATATTTTGTTTCTGAAATCACCCATCCCCCCTTAAAAATGAAAATGTCGGCTACTTAGAGATCATCGAGCGTGAATGTAAATAAAAACCCAGCGGAGTTTACTAACCGCTAGAGCGTTAGCCTGAGTATCAGGCCTTCCTAAGGGGCTAGAGGAGAGGAGATTTTAGATGGGGAGGGGGGAGGGGAGAGAGAGAAGGGAAGGCCTGACACAAAACCATTCAGCAAATCGTGTGACACATCCAGAATCTGGATGTGGCAGTGATTGGATAACACACAATACGCCCTCACGTCACCGACCGCAAGTAAACACGAGTAGAGTGTTTTAATTTCATGTGGTAATTTTATGGATAGAGACGCAGGGAGGAATTCAAAGAGGCTCTAGAGGGCGATCTCAAGTTCTTTCCGGGAATAAAAATAAAATCCGAGCAAGAATTGTGTTTTCAAAGCTTCGTAGTTCAAAGAAAAGATGTTCTCGGAGTATGGAAAAGCCTCATATACCAGCTTCTGCCGAAACTATGTCCGAGTATTGGTTTCACAAGAACAGGACAAAGAAGACGATATCAATGCTTCAGATATCTAAGTTTTGCTTTACAACATCCTGCCGCTAAAAGGGTATTGTTAGTGTAAATAAAATTAGAGCGAGGTAGCCATGTATTGAAAATAGTCGACAGCACCAAGGCTTTAGCTTGACTTTAGATTTTCCCTCGGACGATTTTCGGCCTGATCTACATCAGCTATTTAGCTGCCAGACTCTCAGGAACTTGATTATTAATGAGCGCCGCTGTTGTAACTCTGTAAACAAAAGTAATTTACAGTTTTCCGGGCATCTCACATTAGCACAATTCCTAAAACATGTTATAATTCCTCAAAAACGGTAGGTTTTCCATTTCAAGTATTCGAAAACTCCTCATTGGAGGTTTCAGAAAAAGCGAAATCGTAGCAATACAAGCACCGGAGCTCGGCCAGAGCGTAAGGTGAGATTTACTTTGTTAGGCGAGCTTTTTGACAGGTGAAGCTGACAACCCAATGACCGGATGTGATTTTGATTGGATGGTATCGAATCATGCTGTGTGGGGGTGGAAGGCTCCAGTAAAAGCATCTGTGTCAGGCGTTTGTCTAATTCAGCTCTCTCCCTTTTTCGCTTCCATTTTTCCCCTTTTCCCCCAGAAACGCCTGATACTCAGGCTACTAGAGCGTAAGGGGATGGGGGTCCTCGTTCTAGCGCTCCGCGCTCGCTTCGATCGGGTGCTCGTCGATTTTCGAAAGGAAAAAGAAAACAACGTCGGATATAGGCTAGGGCAGTTGCATGAAAAGCTGTTTGGGAACTAAACGCTTCTTTCCATAGCATTTTACTACAAGTAGTTTTGGTGTTAATAAAATCAGACTAATTGAACAACAAAATTCCGCAAGAAAGCCTCAGTCTTTTCCCCTAATATCCTGCAGTGTACATAAAACATCACCAAATCTTTCACTGGTCGCATGTTTCTATATTCGCCAAAAAAGGCACAAACCAACGGTGAACCACTTACATAGAAAACAGTTAGAAATTGTTTCAAACGTATGTTGATGTGTTTTTTAATTTAATTTCAGAGGGTTAAGGCTACTACACCTGTAGTAGTCTTGACACGTTAGACATACACTCGGCTTTAATAGGCCATTTCCGAGTTCCAAAAAATCTCACTTTCAAAACGAGGCTAAGTGCGAAACCTTTGTT